ATGCTGGGTTTCCATCTAGTTGCAACACTAGTCAAGGGGGGCACTTCTTAAACCATGGGTTGTTACCCCATATGGGGTCACAAAAAATTTGGCAATACAAATGGAAAAGGAAGTCCAAAAGCTTACTGAAGAAAATACTTCCTTAAAAATTAGAATAGAGCAATTGGAAGATAGTGACTTTATGAGAAATCACGACACAGTAGAACAAATCCAAAAGAATGAAAAATTAGAAAACAATGTGAAATATCTCACTGGAAAAACAACTGACCTGGAAAATAGATCCAGGAGACAGAATTTAAAAATTATTGGACTATCTGAAAGCCAAGATCAAAAAAAGAGCCTAGACATCATCTTTCAAGAAATTATCAAGGAAAACTGCCCTGATATAGTAGAACCAGAGGGCAAAATAGAAATTGAAAGAATCCACAGATCTCCTCCTGAAAGAGATCCCCAAAGGAAAACTCCTAGGAATATTGTAGCCAAATTCCAGAGTTCCCAGGTCAAGGAGAAAATATTACAAGCTGCCAGAAGGAAACAGTTCAAGTACTGTGGAAACACAATCAGGATAACACAAGATTTAGCAGCTTCTACATTAAAGGACCGCAGGGCATGGAATATAATATTCTGGAGGGCAAAGGAGATAGGATTACAACCAAGAATCACCTACCCAGCAAAACTGAGTATAATCCTTCAGGGGAAAAAATGGTCATTCAGTGAAATAGAGGACTTTCAAGCATTCTTGATGAAAAGACCAGAGCTGAATAGAAAATTTGACTTTCAAATACAGACTCAAGTGGAACATGAAGAGGTAAACAGGAAAGAGAAATCATAAGAGACTTATTAAGATTGAACTGTTTACATTCCTGCATGGAAAGATGATATTTATAACTCATGAGACCTTTGTCAGTATTAGGGTAGTTGGAGGAAAAAAATATATGTATGTATATGTAGATAGATAGATAGAGGGCACAGGGTGAGTTGAAGATTAAGGGTCATATCTGGAGAATAAAATTAAGGGATGAGAGAGGATTATACTCGGAGAAGAAGAAAGGGAGAGGTAGAATGGGGTAAACTATCTCACAAAAAAAAACAGAAAAGAAAAGTCTCTTACAGTGGAGGGAAACGGGGGAAGGTGAGAGAGAATGAGTGAATCTTATTCTCATAGGATTTGGCTTAAGGAGGGAATAACAAACACATTCAATTGGGTATGGAAATCTGTCTTACCCTACAGGAAAATAGGGGGAGAAGGGGACAAGAGAGCAGGGGGATGATAGAGAGGAGGGCAGATTGGGAAAGGGAGTAATCAGAAGTAAATACTTCTGAGGAGGGACAGGGTCAAAAGAAAGAATAGAATAAATGGGAGGGCAGGATAGGATTAAGGGAAATAGAGTTAGTTTTTCACAACATGTCTACTATGGACGTGTTTTGCATAACTGCACATGTACAACCTATATTGAGTTGCTTGCCTTTTCAATGAGGGTGGGTGGGGAGGGAGGAAGAGAGAAAATTTGAAACCTAAAGTTTTAAAAACATATGTTTTAAAAAAATGTTTTCACATGCTACTGGGAAATAAGAAATACAGGAAATGGGGTACAGAAGTCTATCCTGCCCTACAGGAAAATAGAAGGGGAAGGGGATAAGAGAAGGGGAGAGAGATAGAAGAGAGGACAGACTAGGGGAAGGGATATTCAGAATGCATGCCATCTTGGGGTGGGAGGAGGGGGAGATGGGGTATAAATTTGGAATTCAAAAACTTGTGGGAGTGAATGTTGAAAGCTAAAAATAAATAAATTTATATTTAAAAAAATTTGTCAATAGAAAAAGGTTTCTGAACACACAGTCACCAGAAATTAATTCAAAATCAGATGTGTAATGAATCGGAGGTGTTTCTGGCAGCACTTGCCTGGTCACATCTCCGGCTTCACTGCAGCCTTGGCTCTGAACACAAAGCATGTGCACTTGGCTTTGCAGGCTAGTACAAATTTATCAGAGGAACACAGAAGATGGACAGAGATGGCCAGAGAGAGACTCCTTTAAGAAGTCAGTGCCTCGGGACAGCGAGGTGGCACAGTGGATAGAGCACTGGCCCTGAAGTCAGGAGGACCTGAGTTCAAATCTGGCCTCGGACCAAATACTTGACACTTACTAGCTGTGTGACCCCGCGCAAGTCACTTAACCCCAATTGCCTGAAAATAAGAAGGCAGTGCCTCCTCCCCATTTTCAGGAATTGAAGGTTTCTATACTCCTCAGGAACAATGGCTACCTTCTATAAGTACTGACCATGGACCAGACACTGATAAACACTGGAGAGAGTAAGACAGAAAACAATCCCTGCCCTTAAGGAGCTCACAGTCTAACAAAGGGTGTAACATGAAAACAGCTATGTGCAAAGGATATATATTTGATAAACTGGAGATAATCTCCAAAGGTGCTAGCATAAGGGGATCACAAAAGGCTTCTCGCCAAAGGTGGGACTTTAGCTGAGACTTTTAGCAAGCCAAGAGGTGGAGATGTGGAGGGTGATAATCATTTAAGATCATCTGAGCCCCAATAAGGGCCAAAGCCTGAACGAATCAATCACAAGAAGCACCCCAACATAATAGACATGCTTTTCTTTGTTCTCTGAGTGAACTGGAAATGCCCCTTCCTGTGTCAGTAACTACAGGACTAGATAAAGCTGACCAGCATTCTTCTGTTTGTGACCACTAAGGTGACTTAGACCCGGACACTACCTTGAACAATGGGACTTCTCTTATCTTGGTATTTTATGGACGTATGTTATGTTAAACACAGATATCCTGGATCTATAATTTCAATGGACACTTTTGACATTCTCCTATCTTATTGTATTTACAACCTATTCAATTAAGAAAATTCTTTTCTCAAGCTATGGTTAAACACATATGGAGACCATAAATCTGAGTAACACAGACATCCTGAGTCAGGGTTTAAATGTTCTCCTAAAATTGCTTGATGCAGTCAGAGTTAAAGCTCTGGCTCCATGTACATGTCATTAACTTAAGGGAATAAACAATATGAATTTATCACCTAGCTCGTTGCCTCTAACTAAACTTTCACATCAACAAGGAAACGAGTTTCAGGCATGGGGAGACAGCCAGGGGAAATGTCTGGGAGTCAGGAAATGGAGCGTTTTGTGGAGGAATAACAAGGAGGCCACATCACTGGGCTACAGAGCAGGTGGAAGTGAGCAGAATCACTTTCTAGATTTAGTCAACAAGGATTTATCAAGTGCTTACTATGGGCCAGGTCCTGTGCTAAGTGTTGTGGGCACAAAGAAAGGCCATAAGGGGGGGCAGCTAGGTGGCGCAGTGGATAGAGCACTGGCCCTGGATTCAGGAGGACCTGAGTTCAAATACGGCCTCAGACACATAATACTTACTAACTGTGTGACCTTGGGCAAGTCACCTAACCCTATACCTATCCTAAAGGGGAAAAAAAAGGCCATAAGAAAGTCCTATTTTCAAGAAGCTCACAGCCTGCAGAGAGTCCTGCCAACATTAAACATGGAGATAATGTCCCAGGATTCCATCAGTGGCTACTGCTACTGGAAAGGTCTCCAGGAATATCCACAAAGGATTCAGATTAGGAAAGAAAAGAGGATGACAGTCCGTCATTCCCTAGTCTACATGGGTCCCGTAGAGGAGAGCGTCTGTGCCACTTTATCGTCATTCACTTGCGTCCAACTCTGTGATCCCATGGAAGCTGTCCATGGTGTTTTCTTGGCAAAGATTTGGGAGTGGTTTGCTATTTACTTCTCTAGCATGTTCCCATCTTACAGATGAGGAATTGAGGCAAGTAGGGGGTACCTGACTTGCCCAAGGTCACAAAGCCAGAAACTGAATAGACTGGACTTGAACTCCAATCTTCCTGACTCCAGGCCCACTGCTCTATCCGTTGCACCACCTAGCTGCTCTCTTGTACCTGCTGTATAAAGACTGATAGGTGCCGTTGAAGCTGAGGTGGATCAGTGGGTGGGGGCCATCCCCACACTTTGACTCTGTAAGCACTTACTGAGGGCCACTGTGTGCCGCGTGATCCCAGGGCTGCAGACGCGTGGTACCTCCTCCATCATCCGCGGTAGCGATCCTTCCCAGCTGGATGCCAGCTCACAACTTGAGGAGCCTTTGTCAAAGGTGGGGTCACTCGCAACTTTCCCTAGGTCTCTGGTCCTCACCCCACATCCCTCGGACGCAGCTCCTCCTTTTCCTGCTCTGCTTGCACAGGCTGGTCACCACTCAAGTGTCCGGCCCTCCTCTGGACCAGACACCTGGCAGGCTCAGGGTTGCCCCTTTGGTCACACGAGGTCCCTGCATCACGTGAGGGCCCGGAGCCCCTGAGTCCAGAAATGGCTGGGATGGGGGAAGCGAAAGGGAATAAGCATTTATGTTGCACCTACTGTGTGCCAGCCACAGGGTTAGGCGCTTTACAACTGTGATGGCATCTGATTCTCAACAACCACCTGGGGAGGTCGGTGCTGTTGTGATTCCCATTTCATAGACGGGAAAACGCGACAGACTTAGGTGAAGGGGCTTGCCCAGGGTCTGCATTTGAACCCAGGTCTTCCTGACGTGCAGCGCTCGGCCCGGCCCCCCGGCCAACAGCAGTGGAGATCTTCCTAAAAGATCTCCTTTTAGGAAAGGGCTCGATAGAAACTGTCAATCCGGGGGACAGACGGGCCCTCAGGCTGTCACCCCTCCAAGGCCAAGGCCAAAGCTGGGGGCGGGGTAGTACAGGGTCGCCCTAGACCGAGGTGGGTCAAGCAGACGCAACGCTCCGCGCAGTGGCCCCGCCTCCGATCAGCGCGCAGGCGCACTCGAGGCGCTCTAACGGGAACGCGGAGCCTTCTGGGAGATGGAGTCCGAGGGCGCGCCTGGCGGAGCGGGCCAGGCGGGGGCGTCCCGCGCCTTCCTGCACCCGGACTCCATCTCCCAGAATGCCTCGGGAACGCCTCCAGCCCGTCCGGGGCGGATGCCACAGGCCCGGTGTATGTTGGGAATCGTCCTTACGCGTCCCGGCCCTGCGGTCCTTCCGGCCCTGAGAGTGAGGCACAGCGTTGTCCCGAGAGTCCCGACAGCCGGACTGGGCTCGGTTGAGGCCCCGGGAGTGCGCAGGCGCAGCCCCGTCCCTGCGCCCCCTGGCGGAGCAGCTAGAGGAGGGAACGCGCGCCTGGCGCCCGCTGGGGGTAGGTACTGAGCCAGCGTGCGGGTGTGTGCGTGAGAGTCTGTGACTGAGGGGGGAGGGGAGGAGGTGGCGTGCTTAGGTGACCCCCTCCCCGCACCTCTAAGGGTAGCTCTTGGTGCTTTAGTGTGGTCAGATCAGTCACCCCGTGTGCTGCCCCAGCAACAGTAACAGTCGGTAGTAGTAATAGTAACAAAAAACAGTAACAGTAACGAGCACGTACCGCATTGTAACGCTTGCAGAGGCGAACTCCTTTGATAACCGCAACAACCGTGGGAGGGAGGGAGGGAGATGCTGTGATGACCCCCATTTTGAAGTTGGAGAAACTGAGGCAAACGGGCGCAGCAAAAGTGATCCCATGGAAGCTGTCCATGGTGTTTTCTTGGCAAAGATTTGGGAATGGTTTACTATTTACTTCTCCAGCATGTTACCATCTTACAGAGGAGGAATTGAGGCAAATAGGGGGTAAGTGACTTGCCCAGGGTCACAAAGCTAGAAACTGGATAGACAGGACTTGAACTCAGATCTTCCTGGCCCAGAGGCCAGACTTGAACCCCAGTCATCCTGCTGTTCCTCAGGGGTCGGCAGAGGGTCTCCAGGAGGTCACCACCCTGGGCTCTGATGCCACCCAGCTGGAAAAGCTTTGGGGTCTGGACATAGGTGCTAAGCCTTACCCCTCCCTCCTGTGGTCAGATTGTTGGGCCACAAAATGGAGTGACATCATGGGCTAGGCCATGGGGAAGGTTTGCTATGTGTGTGGGGGAAGAAACCTCTGGCGTCCATACTGAGTCTGGACCCGTGGTTTCTCCAAGGTGGGTCATGTCTGAAGAGAAATCCCTTCTCCAGTTCAGACCGGCCATTGCTCTGTAACTTAGGGACACGGCTTAATGCCAGGTCTGCTCTTCCATTGGTCCTCTTGTATGTGTGCCCCATTGGGTGTGGCCCTGACTCCCACTCCTCACCAGGCTCTCTCACCCCACTTGCACCCACCCCAGTAGGTGTGGTTATTCCACAGAGAGGTGGTGATCACAAGGCTACAACTCACTCTCACCTTCCTAGATCTAACCTTTTTTGTGGGAGGAGATGTACTGTAGCTCTTGGGTCCCCACTGGTATACTTCTCATTTTTAAATAATCAGCCAAAACAACACCAGGGTGTGTATGAGGCAGATGGTGAAGGAGTCAGTGAGCTGGTGCCAGTTCCTCATTTGTAAAATGAGCTGGAGAAGGAAATGGCAAACCACTCCAGTATCTTTGCCAAGAAAACCCCAAATGGGATCACACAGGGTTGGAAGCAATGAAACGCTGGAACAAAACAAAACAATAAAATAAAATAAAATGCTCATTCTGCCAGAACTTGGTCTCAGTCAGGGCCCAGTGGAGTCTAGGTATCATAGGTCTCAGTGTGACATTCATGTCCCTGGTCTTTCTGTCTCTCCCTCACTGTCAGTAGCAGGGTAATTCTCAAAGGGGTGTAAGTGACCACTGCCCCCATAAATGTGCAGGACCAGAACCTAAAGGCTCTCCATGTTCCAGCTGCGTCGTTCTTCCACAAGCTCTAAACTGAGTCTAGGCTAATGCTGCTAGACTAGTTGATACCTAGAATTTTGTAGCATTGGTGGGTAACAGAAGTCCAAGTGGAAAGATTATTGGATAGCCAAACTGGCCAGCTTCCAGTGCCCCCACTCAAACTTAAACATGCCGCAACTCAAGTCATGGGATAGAAAAGCATCATACTGATCCCTAAATATGGGATCTGCTGCCACCAAGAGCCAAAGAGGATGGTCAAGGTCTGAGCCTCATTCTTGGTTGTTGGGGGCTTCAGGGCCAGTTTATTTTTGGCTACTTCAGGGATGTCCCTCTGGGCCTCTGCCCATTATGGCTCTGGGAACTTAACCACTTAGGATGGTCCTTGTATCTTATCTGTGTTAACTGCCTACCCATCTTCTAACATTTATCCTCAGGGCAGTGCCCATTTTTGCCTCTGTTTATTCCACTATAATAATATCATCAGTACAACATCTGTAATGTCAGAGTCAAGTCGGAGCTTGGCCATTGTCCATCCTGTATCTGCATGGAAATTGCTTCTGTGGGGATGGGCCGCCATCTGTCTGGAGCAGCTGTGAAATCTCCCCAGCAGAATATATCGAATGGCCGAGTAAAGCTATTCTAATAGAGCTCCTTGGTGTTCCTGCTGTGTCTGCTAGGTGGGCATGGCGTGGTCAGAAAGGGAGTCCGTGGGGAAGCCTCCCAGGGCAGTCCGCCTTCCACAACGGACAATTTGGATGATCCAGGCTTCTAAAGAGTGTCCAGTATTCCGCTGATACTGACCTCCAGTGCCGGCAAACTCCCTCTCACTATTCATCTGCACCTCTGTCTTCAGGTTCCTGGGCAGATGCAGGCCGTTTCCACCAAGTGTGTCCCCACTACCCCCACCCTCTTGTGGGTGAGAGTTCCTGTCACTTTAAGGACCAGCCAAGATTTAGAATCGTCTGTCCTCTTGGGGTTAATTTCTTGTTCCTGAGCAGCCCCGGGAAGGGTTGGGTTTGAGGGGCAGCCTTTCTGCTCCAAGCTGAATGCCAGCTGGGCGCCCTTGTGACCACGTGGCCCATCCCGGCAGCCCTTTCCCTTCCCAGAGCCAAAGCTCCCAACGCTCCTCCAGGTTTGCTGTGGTGCGTTTGGATGAAAAGCAACCGTGGGCACGGCCGGATTGCTTCTCACAAGGGGAGGAGGAGGGGAGAGAGCCGCTAAGAGAGGCAGTCCTGGTCTGTGCCTGCAGCTGGCACCAGTCATGGTGCAGAGGGGGGGGAAGAGGCAGATCCATGCTCCGGGCTCACATTGACGGAGAGCTTTCGACAGAGAGCAGGTATGATGCCAGTATGAGAGTGCCCTGTTGTCTGTAAGACCAGGGAAGTGAAGGTGTTCTCTAAGGTGCCTGAGAAGGGGTAGGGAACAAGGGGCAGGGAAGCAGGGAGCCTCAGGGTGCCAGTCTAGCAGAGGCTAAAGAGAGCAAAGGCCCAGTCTCTGAATTTTTTAGTCTTGGCATCCTGAGGAGCTAGAGCCATGCCATGCAAGCTAGTTTTCAGGGTCTGCAGTTCACTAACTGAAGGCAAATCTAGGATAATCACAACATAACAGCCTGTGCATGAGCCTGGCTTACACTCTTCCTACCACCAAGGGGGAGATGAGCACAGACTTAGAGAAATCCAAGAGTGAGGCACGAGTAGGAAACCATGTGCCTGAGGCAGCTGACAGCTTTGGGCAAAAGGCCTTCTTGACCTGGTTGTGTAATGTGCTTTGGGCAGAACCAGTCTTCTCCTGGATCTGTCCAGGCTCCTGGATACAAATCTGTGTCTCTGCTACTTTTGGGCTGCTACGGCAGAGGCCACTTAGCAGGGAGAGGCCCGAAAGCCTGTAGTCTACGTAGCTTCCCAGATCTGCTCTCTTGGCTGGGCATTGAGGCAGTGTTACCAGCCTTCAAAGAAAGGCCGTGCCTTTAAGCCTAGGATCTGCAGAGTTATTCAGATCTGCTCTCTGTTCCATGGGATTTTCCCTTCTGGAACCATTGAAATCGAGTCAAGTTAGGTCCACAAGCATTTGTTAAGTGCCTTCAGTGTGCTAGGCACTGTACTCAGCACTGGAGGTACAAAGAAAGGCAATAAACAACATTCCTTAATCTCAAGGAGCTCACAGTCTAATGAGGAAGAACACATACAAACAGCTATATACAAACAAGATCTGTACAGAACAATGTGGTAAACACGGGGAAGGCTCCTTATATGAGGTAGGATTTTGTCTTGGGCTCGAAGGAAGCCAGGAGACAGAAATGTGGAGGTAGAGCATTCCAAGTACGAGGGACAGCCAATGAAAATGCATAAAACTGAGAGGTGGAAAGATAGCAACAAGGCCAGTGTCACTGTATTGCAGAGTATGTTAGGGGGATGGTGTGGGAGAGGGTGGTTATGAGGTGTAAAAAGACTGGAAAGGTAGTGGGGAAGGCAGGGGAGCCACAGAGTTTATTGGAGAAAGGGGTGACATGGTCAGACCTGTGTTTTAGGAATATCAGTTTGACAGCTGAGCATAGAATGAATTGGAGAGAGGAGAGAGACCTGAAGTAGAGAGAGCACCCAGAAGGCTATTACAACAGGCTAGGAATGAAGTGATGGGGACCTGCGCCAAAGTGGCAGCCATGTCAGAGCAAAGAAGGGGAGGTATGCAAGAGATGTTATGAAGGTAAAATCTACAGCACTCCGTAACAGATGGGATAGAGGAGATAAGAGAAAGTAAGGAGTCAAGGGTGACAACTGATTTCATGAACCTGAGCGGCTAGGAAGATAATAGCATCCTCCACAGTAATCAGAAAGTTAGGAAGAGGGGAGAGCTTGGCAGGAAAAGAGAATGAGCTTAATTTTGGACATGTTGAGTTTAAGATATTTAGGACACCTAGTTCAAGATGTCCAATATGCAGTTATAGATGTGAGTCTGGAGGCTAGGAGGGGAGTTATGGCTCGATAATTAGAAGTGAGAATCCTAATCATTGAATCCATGGAAAGGCAGTAAAGGGTAATGTAGGCAAGCTTCTCGGGAATTTCTCCTCTTGAGTTGTAAATGGCACTAGAGAGCAAGGCAGCCTTTTCCTAGTAGGCTTTTCAATCTGCAGAGGATCCTACTTTCCCCAGTTAGCTCTCAGCATTAAAGTCTTCCTCCAATCAGAACAGTTCTTCACATCAGCTATAGAGCCAGCGTTTCTCTAGTGTGCTGATGTCAGCTGGGTCATGTTTCTCTTGGCATCTCATCTCTGTCCCCTTCTGCGTCCTTTCTCCTGGTGCCTTGGTTACCATAAGCAGCTTATCTTACTGCCTTCTCCCTTCTAATGCTCTGACTACCCATGCTTCTGCTACCTCTACTCAGGACCTTCTGGCTTAGATTGAGAAATCCAAAATTCCTGTTTCTGTTGTATGTAGCACAAATAGCCAATAGGAAATTATTCTGTGGTTCCCCAAACAGTTCTTTGATTTAGAGTTTCCCAGCTGTAAACCTCAAGATTTTTAAATAGTCATATGGAAAGCAGCCACTGGGAGACAATGCACTGAAACCAGAAGTTAAGTACTTGTGCTTGTGAGAAGCAAGCTGTTTTTCTCTTAGGTCTTCCCAGAGTTCTGTTTCTCTGGGAGCTATTTTTCTGTGTTTCTCATGAAAATGTCCTTTGTCCCTTTCAGTAAATAAAAGGGAAAATACATTTTTGTTGCTGTTCACTCGTTTTCAGTCATGTCTAATTCTTCATGACTCCATTTGAGATCCTGGCAAAGATGCTAGAGTAATTTGCCATTTCCTTCTCCAGCTTATTTTACAGGTGAGGAAATTGAGGCAAACAGGATTAAGTGACTTGCCTAGAGTCCCACAGGTAATAAGTGACTGAGGCCAGACTTGAACTCGAGAAGAGACGTCTTCCTGACTCTAGGCCTACCACTTTATCCACTGCACCACCTAGCTGCCCAACTAGGAGTCTAGACCTTGCCTAATTAAGGAGTGGGTGCATCTGCCTTGACTCAGTGCTGGAGGCTGATGCTCATTCTCAGATAAGTGGCTGGAAATACCAAGAGCAGCCCCTTCCCCTGGACAGTAACAGTAATAATGCCTAACATTTGTCAAGTGTGGGGCATTTATTTCACACCTATTCCCTCACTGCAATCCCACCAGCTGCTACCTGGGAGCCCAAACAGCCTCAGACCTGCCTCACTGACTTGGTTCTGACAGTACCTACTGTTCCTGAACATCCTTGGTGCAGGCACCCACATTCAGTGTTTTCCTGATCCAAACAGAAATATGAGAACACTCCCCTGGACATCCAGGAAGCCCATAAACACTTCAGCAAGAAAAGACACACACACACACTCACACTCTCACACACACAAACACACACTCACACTGTCACACACAAACACACACACACTCATACATTCACACTCACTAGATCATCATCCACAGAAATGACCAGACTCCTAGAATCCCAGCAGGATGGGAAGGGGGTAGGGGAAGAGAATGTGACAAATTTCGTCAGTATAGGAAATCCCCAGTGTGAAAACGCCATTGTCTGATAAAAACCAATAGCTCCTCTCTCCCTCACAGACTTACAGAACTCCTGGGGTACAGAAAGCAAAGTCTTCCTCAGATCACTCAGGTAGTAGGGATCAGCAGGAGAACTTCAGCCTGGTCTTCCTGGCTGCAGGCCAGCCCTCGGTCCACTACCTCACAGGCTTCCTTTCCAATGATGGTAACAGAACCGTCACAGTGGACACTTATGTGGCCCTCACAGACATGCAGAGCACTCCACAAACATGAGGCAATAACACCTCGCCTGATAAGAGGACGGGGGAGTTGAACTGATTTACCAAGGGATTAGGGCAGGGAAAGGAGAGTGTAGCTAGGAAGGGGAGATGGCCTAGGAGAGAACTGAAGGCTCAAGGGACTAGGGGTCACAGTGCGAATGAAGAGCAGGGTTTGGTGTGGGAAGGCAGAGGGAGAAAAGGAAATCCAATAGATTATGATCAGATAAGGGAATTTTCAGAATTCTTGAATATGGAGGTGATTGGTTATTGTCTTTCTTTCTTGAAAAAGACCAAAATGACATCACTATGTTGGAGTCAAGGTACGGTGTGTCCTGCTGTGGCTGATCAGACAATAGCAGTATGGGTGATGGTGAGATCAAGGGTACGAGCATCTTTATATGTGGCTGAGGTGGGGTGGGGAAGTAGCTTGTGAGAATTAAGGTTGGGTTGTCTGAAGAAGAGTCAGTATGTTTGTTGAAGTCCTCTAGTACGAGGGCAGGAGTGAGGAGGAGGGGAACATTGTGAACCAGATACTGAACTTACTGAGAAAGGAACGTGTGTGGACAATGGCTGTTTGGATGTTGATTACCAACCAGAGGTAGACTTCGTGAACCTCAGAGGGGGAGAGGCGACTGAATGATGGTGCCAAGGAGACAGCCTGGAGGCAGCAGCGGCGAACAAGGAGCGTTCCCCGTTACAGCTTTGACCAGGAGATTGAGTGAAGATGCAGCCAGGACTGGAGAGGGTGTCCAGGGAGGCCGTGTCATTAGAGAGGAGCCCGGTCTCAGTGAGAGCCCCCAGATACAAGGAGTAGGAAAGGAGAAGATATGAGATGAAGGCAAGGGTGTTGCCTACAGAGCAGGCATTCCAGAGGGCACCACAGAACGGGTAGCTTTGGGTTGGGACATTGTTGGGGAAGGGGAAAGTTGAGTAGAATGGAAGCAAGAGACCAAGCCCAGCCCGAGGCAGGGCAGTATGGGCCACTAAGAGAGTGTATACTCTGAATTTCCTAATAGGGAATGAGGGGCAGAGAGATGCGAAACTTAACCCTAACTGTGCCACCACATAAAAGCAGATAGGGAAGGTGGGATCACCCAGTCTCTGGGTCAGTTAAACCTTAGCATACATGCATCCTGGGGGCTGGGACCAAACCATTCAAACCAGGTTCTACTCCTTCACAGAAGGAGCATAGGACAAAAGGAGGAGACCCAGGACAAAGCCTTGGGAGACACACATGGTTAGAGAGGTTGACACAGATGAAGAATGAGCAAAAGAGACTGAGAAGGAATGGTCAGACATATAGGAGAAGCAAGAGAAAAGAATGTCACAAAAATCCAGAGGAAGAGTATTCAGGAGAAGGTGATTTACTGTGCCCAATGCTACAGAGATTGAGGAGGATGAAGATGGAGAAGAGGTCATAGATTTGGCAATTAAGACACCATTGCTAACATGAAAGACCACCCAAACCAGCCACCAAGTGGATAATCCTAAAGCTCAACCCTGACCATGTTATTCTCTTGCTACTTTAGTGAACTTTAGTTTTGAAGTTTTAGAACTTTAGTGGCGCTAAATCTACTCTAAATTAAAATACAAAAACCTCTGTTAGGCACTTAGCCCTTCACAGTTTGCCTCAATCTATCCATTCCTATTGCTTTCCCGTTATCCCCACCACCAGCCACTTGCTGTTCCCTGTTCAGGACAGTGCGTGCTCTATTTCAGGTCTTCTGTCAGGCTGCCCACATGCCTCGAATGCTGCCTTCCTCACAGCTGCCTCTAGCAGTCCAGAGCGCCCTTCACAGGCCCCTTCCTTCTCAAAACCTTTCCTAAGATTCCTGTTGCTGTTGCTCTGCTTCAAATTAATTTGCATGTGGTTTGCATTTGCTTATCTGTATGTATACTCCATCACCCCAGTGGAATGATGGCTCCTTGAGGGCAGGTACTTGTCTTGTCTTTGTGCGTCTGGCACCTGATGGGTACTTAATCCACGCTCCCTAGTTATACTGAACTTTATTCCCTCTCAGAGAGGAAGGAGGGAGGAGAGGGAAAATGCAAATACAAAGCAGTATGGAAATGAGCTCAAGGAATTTGAAGAGGTTCACGTTGACTGTCTGAGCTTAACTGAATAAAATAGAACAAAGGTCTGCAGCCAAGAGAAAGTGGAAGAGATGGTATTGTAGGGTCAGCAGAATTTGTAGCCAGGAACAGTAGAGAAAGTGGAGGAAAAGGTGTCAAATACCTTCTGGTGTGACCCGAACCAGATTAACTGGGAAGTAGTTAACGAGTAAGTAAAAATACAGTGGAACATAGATAAAGTTAATATGTGGTTTTCTAAGTCAAGATGTGGCCCATAGTGATCCTTATGTATGGTTTAGTGACCCTTATTTCTATTTGAGTTTGATACCGTGGATCTAGAGGGTAGAGTTGACGAAACGTAGTGGCCCAGCGGTGAGGTGAGGTGGGGATGCTGGTGGGGATTTTGTTTAGCACCTGGCAGGCAGGGTTGGTCTCTACCATGACTTCTTTCTTCTTGTCCAGTTCAGTCTCCTCAATATTCTGCCATTCCCTGAGACTGGAGTATGGAGGGTGAGGAGGGAATGACTTCTGGGTTCCTGATATCCAAGCTTCAGGTGAGTTCAGGTTTATCCTCTCTCCTGAAATACTATATCATTTATAAGTATATAAAACCATCTCTTTTCCTTATCTTTGGTGGTCTTTGTACTCCCAGGTTCCTTCTAGGACCTCAAGCATCCGTGATTTTCTCTGGTTACTTTAATGGTTGATACAGAGGTTATATATCATTTCAGTTGGAATGTTAGCAAGTTTCACCATTAAGGTATGTGATTTGATGAGGATTTTTTTTAGCATTGGTGTCTGATGGAAGTTGGATTCCTGAATGTGGACTGAAAAGTTACACTGTATGACCTCAAAGGTGTCTTCCTACTTTTAAGAGATTTTTTTCTCTTCCAAATTAAATATATGAGAGAAAGTGGAACCAATATTGGACAAGATGGCAAGAATTCGTAATCATCTAGAAATAGATTTCTGTAAACACCAGATGACAAAAGGAAAAGCCTAAAATGAAGAAAAAATTGTTAATCATGGAACTGGAATTCCAAACATTACAGCAGAAAGGGCACAAAGAGTTGTCACGTGTCAGAGCAAGCAACAGATGTCTGCTAAGCATTTGCTATACACCAGACAGTGTGCTAAGTGCTCGGGATGCCAATGTGAGCGAAAAGAAAAACGTTCCCTGATTTCAAGAGGAGAATAGGAGATTCCAAAAGACAAAACAAATCAGGGGGTGGAAAGGGGCAGGGTACCCCACGGGGATATGGTGGCAAAGTTTGTAGACTCAGAAGCACGGCTGGGAGAGAAATGAAGCACAGCTGGCTTGGGCCTTTCTCGAAAATGGAGGCCTTGCAAACAGCTCACCTGTGACAGAAATGGGCCAGCGTGGTGAGGGGACTGTTACAAGGCACAGAGGCCCCAAGTGATAAGAGACATTCTAAGTGACATGGCAGTGGCATTGTGGTGGCAAAGCCCATAGAGTCAATTGGTTGGGTGGAGAAATCAGCTGGAAATCAGAAACCCCTCAGGTAGGAGGGGAGCAGAGGGCTGGGTTAGTTAACTTTTTGGCAGTCACGATTTCACTTTGTGTTGCGGTCAGTGGTCAGATCAGTTCTGCCTCCATTGGATGTTACTTCATTCAGGCCCTGCTCCACCACTTTGTAGTATCAGGTGTGGACTCAGCTCCTCAGCTGGGTGAGATACGAGTAGAATCTGTTGGATGTTTCAGGAATCAGTAACATTCAAGGATGTGGCAGTGGAATTCACCTGGGAGGAGTGGAGACATCTGGAGACTGCTCAGAGAGACCTGTACCGACGTGTAATGATGGAGAACTATAAGAACTTTGTCTTCCTGGGTAAGTCCAGTGTGACCCTTGCGTTATGCCACCAACAAGAATAATAATAACAGTAATCTGCCCACTGGTAGGTCATGATTCAGTTTAATTCTTTGGACATTCATTAAGTGCCTGCTATGTGCCCTGCCCTGTGCCAAGCACTGGGGATCCAAAGAAGAGAAGGACAGACCCTGCCCTCAAGGAGCTTATAATCCAGTGAGGGAAAACATCACCCAAAAGCAAGCTGGAGGTTGGGGAGAGGCCCTCATGGGTACCATGTTCCATGGAGTTGTAAGCAGCGAGCTGCAGATGGAACATGAGGAGAAAGCTGGAGAGTCCAGACAACAGCCCTCTGTAAAGGAAGGCTCAGGGAGGTCTTTAGCACTCTACCTTCCGGCCTTCCGATCAGGAAGATTTGGGCATGGGGAAGAAGGGGAGGGGTTCTGAACTCATCATGAGGGAACATTCCAGACTGTGTGTCAGGTGGAAAGGTTCAGAACCCTTGATAGCCAGTAGAAAGAATGTTTCCCCTTCCTATTCTCAGGTGAAATGTCTTTCACAGTAAAAATGGAAGTCCATAGCTTTCTCGTGCTGGCTCTGAGGATGGAGCCTTTGGACTCCTTGTTTCTTCACAAGAAAGTTTCTTGGTAATGTCCCCAGGGCACTTGGCTGCTTCCTGCAGGAAGCCCTCCCTGTCCCTCCTTTCCCACAAACGTTTCTCCAGGCACTTTGCTTGGAGCACTCCTCTGCATGGATTTCACTGTCTGCAGACTGGAAGCTCCCTGAGGGTAAGCAAGGACTATGTCTTAGCTAAATTGTGTACCTCCCCTGAGACCTCCAAGAATTAGAACCTGTAGATGATACAGCTCTGGTGGAAGGGGGAGTCGGGATCCCAGGAGATCCTTGACAACGGGTCAGCGTTTGGCTGAATCCAGGAGGATGAAATCCAGTAGGACCTATGTAAAGTCCTGCATTTAGTTGCAGTCACCTTCAGAAGGACAAGACATGGAAGGCTTGGGGTGGCCGCAGTTTGTCTGGAAAAGCTTCAGACTTTTAATGGGCGCACACAGTGTAATGGGGCAGCCAACGCCTGTGAATGCAGTGTTGGGCTGCAGGCAGAGGGGCAGGGCCACCAGCAATAAGGAGGGGCCGGTCCCTGTCTACTTTGCCCTTATTGGTCTCATCCGGAGGATTGTGCTCATCTCTGGGACCTTGATAAGGGTCCAGAGGCAAGCAGACAGGGTGGGGGAGGGCATTGAGTCCGTCATACCATGATCAATTGAAGGAAATGGGAATTCTTAGTCTGGAGCAAAGAAGACTTGGGAGGATCCTGATAGTTCTGTCAGGTGTTGGAGGGCTGCCCCACAGCCCTTTGAGGTGTGTTTGACCCAGAGGGCAGAACCAAGGCGTCAGGGACCAGGAGGAAAGGTTTGATGTCAAGAAGTTTGCTGCCAGGCAAGCTGGCCCAGGCTTCCCTCTGAGGCTTAGGCTCCGCCTCCTTGAAGGGCTTCTGGCAGAGGCCAGATGGCATGAAGGGGATTCCTTTCCAGGAAGCGTTTACCTACATAGGCCCAGGGCTCTTCTCCAATGCTGTGATTCTGAGAAAACCCAAACAAGCCCTGGAGAGACACTAGAAGGCATGCAAAGGGTTTGTCTGACTCGGGATGGTCAGGTGAATTGAATTTTTTTCTGAGCCTAAATTTGATCTGAGACCCATTCTTCCTTGGAATTCAATACAGAGCATGCTTCAGAGGCCCCTCGTACAGCTACCCTTTCTTAGCTACCGGGCTTTCCATGAAGAAAACCGAGCTCTAAGGTATCTTCCAGCCCCTTTACATCCTCATTTCCATTCCTGTGACTAGGGCTGCCTGTTTCTAAACTGGACGTGATCTCCCTATTGGAGAGAGGAGAGGCACCATGGATGCCCGAGGGAGGAGTGCCAAGCAGATGCTGTCCAGGTGAGTGGGTGATGAGACACCACGTAGGTATCTTTGCAAGGACGGGCTCAGCTGCTCAGTACCAGACAGAGAGATCCCAATGACCCCTCAGCCACCTGGGGCTGAAGTCCAGCACGAGCTCCCTTTTTCACAAGGGTAGCTTTCTTTCCATATTTACCTCTCTCAGAACGAAACATTTCCTCCCCTTTGTTGGTTTTTAAATTCATCTTAAATTCCCTGCCATCAGTAAAAACATTCATATCTATGAATGTCTTTAAGCTTTTAAATGTCTTTTGTGTTTACATCACTTCCAGTTCCAAATGGTCAGTGCCACTGCCTCCACCCCCACCTGCCCAGAGAGTCATCCCATGTAACAAAGAACTGAAAGGAAAGAGAGTGAAAAAGTGGGTCAGCAAAACATTCCCCCTCCCTGGTCCCCCAGATCTGCGGAAAAGGGAGGAGGCGTCATTTCTGGTCCCTGCTTTAGGACTCAGCTGGTCATTATGACAGCGTCCTGTTTCTCCTTTTGGCTCATTTGCTGTAACCTCTGCATCGTGATTCTGTACTTCCCTTTGCACCAGTTTGTCAGTCTTCTTTTCCAGTGCCTGGAGGTACAGTCAGCTGGGGAGATTGGGAACGGCCTTGTGGAGGAGGTGAGGAAGCCCTGAGCTCTAGGAGGCAGAGGGGAGGCTGGAAAAGGCCTGAGAGCCAGCCAGCCTGCTATAGAGTCATGGAGAAGGACAGGAGATGGCTTATGAAGGACCGCAAGCAGGCCAGTTGGGCTAGACTGTGTGGAGCAGTGTGTGACCAAGGGGGATTGTAAGATCAGACTACTCTTGATGTTACAAAGACCTTCTGCCTTGTGGGCCAGGGCACCCTCTGTCCAAAGGACATTGGCTCTGGGCTCACACAGAGCAGGTTCAGTCCTGGAGTAGCCAAGCCCCAGAAAGAGAAGTTGGGCTGCCCTCTGGCTTCTTAACCCCACTCTAAAACAAAGTGTTTTAGAACAGTCTCTTCAACAAAGCACTGGCGGGTTCATGTCCAGAGTCTCTCCAAGATGAATCATGAGGAAGATATTCAGTATACGGAGCAGCCTCTGCTCAGGGAACGAAACACAAAGCAGAGGAGGAAGCACGAAATCAAGGTCAAGTTTAGGTGTGTCTGAGCTAGTGCCCAGGGCCTGGCTGGCTGCAGGAAGGAGGCAGAGGAAAGGTTCCCCTTGACCCTCAGGCTCAGTCCAAGGGAGAGTGGCCAGAGTCTCTAGCCCCGTGTTCAGCAGAAAGGACTCTCTTTCAATTCCAAATGTTTCCCTCCCTGGGCGGGGGGAGGTATTCCCTGTAACAAAAAATATAAAAGGCAAAAATAGAAAGTGAAGTTCCATTTAAATATCTACAACTTGCATGAAGTTCCTGAAAGTAAATTTGCCATGCCAGTGATCCCCATTGAGAAATATAGATGTTCAAATATGTGAACCAGCTTTAATAACAACCACAGCAATCACAGTTAGTATTTATGTAGTGCCCACTTTGTGGCAGGCACTGTGCTCAAGACTTTACAAATATCATCCCATTTCATCCTCACAACAACCCTGGGAGGAAGGTTGAGATTATTATTCCCATTTTGCAGTGGAGAAAACTGAGGCAAACAGGGAAAGTGACTTGCCCACAGTCACACAGCAGGGAAGTGTCTATGGTCAGAGTTGAACTCAGGTCTTCCTGACTCCCATAGCTAAGTAGTGGATAGTGGCCCTGGAGTCAGGAGGACCTGAGTTCAACTACAGCTGTGTGACCGTGGGCAAGTCATTAACCCTGTTTGCCTCAGTTTCCTCACCTGTCAGATGAGATGGAGAAGGGAATGACTGACCACTCCAGTGATTTTGCCAAGAAAACCCTGAAAGGGGTCACAGAGACTTGGACACAACTAATTTTAAATGACAAAGTGACTTCCTGACTCCAAGCCTAGTCCTCCATGCAGTGCGCCACTGAGCAAAATAAAAGTAACAAAAAGCAAGAGGCAGCAAGTGACTCCATTTACGTCAGTAAACTCCCATCCGTTAGCAGGCCTCACCCTCCCCAGAAGGCGCCTCGTGACCAGTGTCTCATTCCCCACCTTGCATCCTGGTTGCCATCATCATTCCTGATCATCTCATCAGGGGAGATACAGCTGGTGTGTTTCTTTGGTCTTCATGACTTCACTGTCATCAAAGCGTACGCCATTCTTTTGGGGCCACCCTCTTCTTTCTTGACCTTGCACCTGTTTTTTAAATTCTTCCTCGTCATCATTTTGCTGAATATTTATTCCACTGCATTGCTGCATGTCATTGGCTTGCCCATTCCATGACTTGTGGACACCGAGTTTTTTTCTTAGGTTTCTTATAACCATTGATACTCTCAAGATTGTTTGTATAGCCATAGTCTTTTCATTCTTCTCAAGATGCCATTTTATAAGAAATATTTATGGTAAAGATTGTTTGCCTTTTCTTTCCTTTTTTCCCAAAAGATTGCTTTTTTTGCGGTGAATTTTATATATTCAAACTCTCTGTAATTTCTTCCTTTTGTTGAATAGATAAGAATACTTTGCCTCACCACAACTGAAACAGTCCATCGGGGGGACATTTGAACATGTAATGAAATATAGTCATTTTTAAAACTACAGAATTTCCTCCCCACTCCCAATAAAGTCGGATCTTATTCTGCCAAAAATACTCTCTGGGAAGAATAGACATCCTTTGGGATCCCTTGAGTAACTTAGGCACTCACATGAATAAGTCCACATAGACAGAACTCCTGTGATCAGGGCACACTCATGAATGGATAATAGAGACCTCCAGTGCTTCTGAGCTACAAAGGGCATTTAATGAGGTCCCTGAGCTTCCCTTTGCTGGGTCTGCTTCCACCGCTGGTGCACACAGTATGTCAGCCTTCTTAAACTCCATGTTGGGCATCACTTTTCTCCATTCCTGGTCACTGCTCTTGATTCTTCCTCATCTTCACGGTTGCAGCTGCCTTGAAGAGAACCTAACATTCTACTGGCAGTCCCTGGGGATGCTGTATTTAGTGAACCTTTCCCTTACAGAAGAGCAACATGTTTGTCAGCCAGCTCTGTTGCCTCCACCATCAGTTGTGAAGTTGTGGTCAGTAAGCCTCTCTCAGTCAGGGAAGAGCATCTTTTCAAGCAAATCAGTCAGGGGCTATAAACATCTTCCCCTGAGCCAAAGGTCTCCAAGAAGGTAGCATACGTACAAGCTAAAGTCACGTCTGCATGTTGAACTACTCTTATTTTCTTTGTCCTCAATCAATCAATGAACATTTATTAAGCATCTACTCTGTGCTGAGCACTGTGCTAAATGCTAGGGATGCAAAAAGAGGCAAAAGACAGACCCTGCCCTCAAGGAGCCTAAAATCCAGTTACAGTCTAACCTCCGACTTTATCCTTCCAGCTCTCATCCTCCTTATGATCATCAGCTCCCTTTCGTTCTTAGTACTCATCAGACTTCCTGACTGTACCAAGTAGCCCCAGTGCTCACACTCAAACAGAAAAGGGGCAGGGTCAAATTGTGATGAAAAAGTGGCTTTCAGTGTGTCCCTCTAATCTTCTATCATTTCTGTTCTTTTCAGATCCAATGTTTTTGAGAATTGTTGTTATAAAGTTTCCTGAAACATATTAGTTTCCTTTTTTATTCACAATTTGGGAGAAGCTCAGTGATTCTTAAAAGTTTCTGCAATTGCTCACCCAAATACATCCCTTCTGTGTGCTTAGGACTCGAGTCCATTTTCCAGTTGAATAATAGCATTAACCGGTTGTTAGTTTTTCCCCCCATCCTTTCTAGTTTCCCACTGTTCTGATGATAATTTTGTTTTCATTGAGAGTACTTGTGTCAGTGGCATCTGTTAGTGCCTTTAGAGCTTTGGCTTGTAGGCCATTTATCCCTAGTGGCAAGGCGTTCTGTGGCCCTTTCCTCAGCTCTCTTGTTTTAAGTCTATGTAAGCAGTGCTTGTTCCTCCTGGGCCAAATTGAGCATCATTCACCTTTATGCAAGAGACAGAGGGCAAAATTTGCTATAGAAGTTTCCTTTCCCTTAGCAGAGAAAACTATGATTAGCAACTTAAAAAGATGTTTATTGATATCTTTTGTTTTACATCACTTAAGCTTCTTTTTGTATGTCCCCTAGCCCCCTCCCAAAAATCCATCACTGATACGAGGTTTTTTTTTGGGGGGGTGGGGGAGGGTGGTGTGTGTTTAAAGGGTAGGGGGAGAACCAGCAAAACCAATGACTAGTGACTATTAAACTTTTCTTTCAGGTTCCCATACTCAGGAGACAAGATGTGAAACTCAGGAATCAGGATGGATACAGGGAATTAGCATGGGAGTATCATCTAAGAAAATACTGAAAGAGGACAGTTCCTGGCATTATGAAATGGGAGAAACTGGAGAATTTGATGTCATTTTAGAAATGCCGAAAGAGCGAGGATCTAGACAAGTAGCAGGCACCCACCGAACAACTTTTAATATAGTGAGCCTACCTCAATGTAATACATTCAGGAGAAGTTTTAGCCAAGCGTCTGGATTTGCTTCACCATGGAGTAGTGCTATGGGGAAAAGTCCCCATAAATATAAGACACTTGGTAAGAGCTTCAGGGGGATTTCAGACCTAATGAAAGGTAATACAGTCTCCATAGAGAAGAACCATTGTAAGTATAACACTTGCAGGAAGCCCTTCAGTTACCACTCAGATCTAATTAAATTTCATAGACTACATGCTGGGGAAAAGCTACATGAATACAGTGAAAGTGGAAAGACCTTTGGCAGAAGATCAGACCTTACTGGAGAGAAACCATGTGAAAGTAGTAAATGTGGAAAAGCCTTCATGGACAAGAGACCCTTGATTTATCATGAAGGAATTCATCCTAGAGAGAAACCCTTTGCCTGTAATGATTGTGGGAAAGCCTTCAGCAAGAAGGGACACCTTATTAGCCATGAGAGAATTCATACTGGAGAGAAACCCTTTGAATGTAATGATTGTGGAAAAGCTTTCAGCAAGAAGGGACACCTCATTAGTCATGAAAGAACTCACACTGGAGAGAAACCCTTTGAATGTATTGAATGTGGAAAAGGCTTCATACAGAGGGGAGACCTTAATAGACATCAGAGAACTCATACAGGAGTGAAACCCTTTGAATGTAATGAATGTGGCAAAACCTTCAGGGAGAAGGGAGCCCTTATTAGACATCAAAGAACTCATACTGGAGTGAAACCCTTTGAATGCAATGAATGTGGGAAAGCTTTCAGTGCAAAGGGAACTCTTATTATACATCAAAGAACTCATACTGGAGTGAAACCCTTTGAATGTAATGAATGTGAGAAAGCCTTCACAGAAAAAGGAGCCCTTATTAGACATCAAAGAACTCATACTGGAGTAAAACCCTTTGAGTGTAATGAATGTGGCAAAACCTTCAGTAGGAAAGTATACTTTATTAATCATCAGATAAGTCATACTGGAGTGAAGTCACTTATTTATAACGAACATAGGAAAGCTTCCAGTCCAAAGGCATACCATAATAACTGTCAGATATCTCATCCTGGAGTGAAGTCTTTTGATTATAATGAGTGCAACAAAGACCTGAATCTGAAGGGACACCTTGAAAGTCATCACAAAGCTCACACTGGAGGGAAGCTTTTTGAATATGGGAAAGCCTTTAGTGAGAAAGGATACCTTGAAAGTCATCAGAGAACTCACACTGGAGAGAAGTCTTTTGAATATGATGAAAGTGAAATAGCATTCAGTGAGAAGGGAAAACCTAGTAGAGATCAGGACACACATACTGGAGACAAACCCTTTGAATGTAATGAATGTAGGAAAGCCTTTATTGCCAGAGGAAGCCTTATCAGACATCAAATAACTCACACTGGAGTGAAACCCTTTGAATGTAATGAATGCAGGAAAGCCTTCAGCCAGAAAGTACACCTGATTAAACATCAGTTAACTCATACTGGAATGAAACCCTTCAGGTGTAATGAATGTGGGAAAGCCTTTAGTTTGAAGGGTCTCCTTGAAAGACATCAAAGAACTCATACTGGAGAGAAACCCTTTGAATGTAAAGAATGTGGGAAAGCCTTTAGTTTGAAGGGACACCTTGAAAGACATCAGAAAACTCATACTGGAGAGAAACCCTTTGAATGTAGTGAATGTGGGAAAGCCTTCAGTGAGAGGAGAACCCTTATTAGACATCAGAGCATTCATACTGGAGTGAAACCCTTTGAATGTAATGAATGTGGGAAAACCTTTAGAGCTAGGGGAACCCTTGTCAGACATCAGAGAATTCATACAGGTGTGAAACCCTTTCAGTGTAATGAATGTCGGAAGGCCTTCTCTCGGAAGGATGAACTCATTAACCATCAGAGAACTCATACTGGAGAGAAACCCTTTGAGTGTAATGAGTGTGGAAAAGCCTTCAGTCAAAAAATATACCTTGTTAACCATCAGATAACTCATACTTGCATGTTGTATCCTTCCAATCCAACGTGGTTAACTTCTCAGCATTAGTGGACACCCTTACTTATGAGATAAATTATCCTGATGAAAAACTTTATATATTGAATATGGGAAACTCTTAGGAAACATCAGTGAATTAATGTGAAAGACAAAGATTCTCAATTGTATGATGATGGAAATTCATCTGGGTGTCATAAACCCATATCCTAGAATCTATGCTGAATAACTGGGTAGATTAAATCATGTGGGGGCATAGTCATCTTTTGAAAAGTCAAGTTGGTAACAAATGTCACCAGTCACCATATTGTATGGAGTTTTCAGAGATTAAAAAAAAAAAGACTGTCTTTCCTTGCCAGTCTTTGCTGTAACACACCAAAGATGCTATTAGGTGGCAATAGAGTTTCTTAATTTGTGAATCAAGTGGGCCCAATTTTGGCAAAACCACTGAAATTTCTTATACTTGATCAGCTCTCTCAATTTTTTTTTGTTTTCCTTTTTATTCCAAATTACTCATTAACAAAACATTTGTTTGAAAAGCATTAGCATATGTGAAACAGTAATCTTTATTTACACTTTGTTAAATAAAGTAAATGTATATTTGCTTCCACAAGATGACAACAAATAAGTTTGTTTGCTTCCTTGTTGCCTTCTGAAATCCTTTTTTTCCCGTGCATTTTTCTAGATGATTTTGATGTTTACACAAAATCAGAGTGTTTTTTCTCGTTCTGTGCTCTTCACTCTGCATCATTTCATATAAATCTCACTTACCACTTGAAGATTCAAAGATGGAATGACACATAGTCCTTGGGATTAAAAGAATTTATAGATTACTAAGAGAGATAACTTATTCACAGATACCTTTAATAGAAGTTATAATGGCAAAAGAGAGGGCCAAACTGTTAAATTATTCTGGATTCAAACTGCTCTCTGCCTATCCCTGGAACAAGTTTCTATCCAGTTCATATGTTGTTTCCATTTTGCATCGCTACAACTTGCTGTCTGCATTTTCTCTCAGGCATGAACTCTCCTAGGGTCATGGAATTATCAAGGTTAGAGCCAAGAAGGAATGTAGAGATCATGTTGTCCAGCCACCTCATTTTATGGCTGAGGAAAATCAGGTCCTAGGTGATGGGAGCTGTCCAAGGGTCCAAAGATAGTAAGTGTCAGAGATGGGATTTGGATTGAGAACTCCTAATGTACCAGTAATTTTGATTCTTCTGAGATTATGGAGTTCCAAAAGTCACAGTCCCTATATCATGAATCAGAAAATTGTTAAGGAAGTAGGCTTTCATGACAATGAGTAGCTTGGTAGCATTGAAAGTCATGCAAATATTCTCAATCATGATTCATCCCTGTCTCCAATTCATACCCATCTCTCACTCCATTGGAACTCACTGTCTATTCTAGTGTGTGCGTTTGCTCTGAATATATGAGCTAATTAATTTTGAGAATCCCTAGTGTGAAACTCCTCTTCACTAATTCAAAGAAAGGAGTCATTAATATCGTCTTATTGCTGCTTGGAATACTGAGAATTAAGAGCTTTGCCCCTAGTCATACAACTACTGCTTGTCAAATGCAGCATTTGAATCAAAGTGTTCTTGACTCCAAGGCCAATTTTCTACCCGCTCACACATATATTTGTATATTTATGTGTACTATATGTGTGCACACACACATATTCAGAGAAATGTTCTAACTCAAGCATCCTTAACCTGGGGCCTGTGAACTTATTTTTTTTTAATTTATAATTTTTTCCTCTTAATACTATGTATTTTATGCATTTAAAAACATTATCCTGAAAAGGGGCCCATAGGTTTCACCAGACCTCCAAGAGATGAAAAGATTAAAAACTGCTGAATGTTAGAACTGAATGTATTAGAAATTCAGTTGAATACTGTATTCTAGAAAACTCTGCATTTTTCGTCCACTTTGTTTTTTCTACTCCCTTACATTACTGTAGATTCATTGGAAAGAATGTAAATATCTGAGACTAAATGTAATTATCAGTGTCATTTCCAAATAATATTTTAGTATTTTCTTTTAAAAAATTGATATCTTTCATTATATCACTTTCATTTCTGAATATATCCCTCCTCATCCCCTGCCCAGAGAACTATTTCTTGTAATTAATATAGAAAAAGGGGAAAAAATGCAATTCTGTAAAAACTTAATCAATGAATAACCTTAGTTGAAGAGTATACAATAGCCCATACCCATTTTCTACATGACAAATTATTTCTCTCTCATATTAACAGCCAATTATTAAAACTGGGGAGACCTAAGCTTTTTTCCCTGTCTTATTTGCTTGTCTGAAGCCCAGTCTCTCAAGGAGAGGGCTGATGGAAGATAGGATTAACATTCTCTTCATTCTGGGTATTGCTACTCCACTCAACCAGATCAGACTTCTCATCTAAAATTAATTCCTACCCACTGTGTTCCACTCAAGTTAATTAGGGTGGAGGCTGATCTGTGTACGTTGCCCAAGGCAACCCACTTTCCCAGCCTCTCATTAGAATAGGTTCACTTATCATTAATTACTAACCAGAGTTGATTGCCCCCTTCTGAAACACTCACTTTTCCAAGGGCCTGCAGCCATGATTGTCTTTGGTCAGAGAGACAGCCAAGTGACCATTCCTTTTATTAACAAAATGCTAGCATTATTAATACAATGATTAATTACCCAGAAACTATGCCTCTTGAACTTTTTAAATGTCACAACATCTAAAAAAGAAGGGAGGGTGGTGTATTTTTTCATCTTTTCAGAGACCCATCTCAGTCAATAAAATGGTTCCTTATTCTTCTGGAACAAGAAAAATTTTTTCTTCTGGTTTGTATTTTTGCAGCTATTGCATGTTATTTTCTGCTGACACTCATTTAAGATCAGTTGAGCCCCAATAAGGGCCAAAAACTTGAATTAATCTTTTCTGTCTAAATGAATTAAAAATACCTCTTCCTGTGTCAGCAACTACAGAACCAGATGAAACTGACCAGCATTCTTCCTGTCTGTGATCACTAAGGACAGGATGTCTGGCACCAGACACTATCTGGAAGAGTGGGACTTTTCTTATCTAAGTATCCTCTGAACATGTTGCAGTCTGAGAGGCTGAGACTTCTCAAAGATTGGAGTACATGACAGGGTCATCTGGAATGAATTCACAGACTCAAGCATTCTTTAAGTCAAGTTGGCAAAAAGTTTTTTGTTATGCTTTTCAGGGGGCAAGGATTCTTAAGGAAACTGCGACCTTAGAGGGGTATAGTTAAAGTTTATAGAGTATAAAATATAATAAAACATGTGCCAAATATGCTAACTAGATGATTCAGGGTGGGATTAGGGAGTGGTTAAGGAGTCTTCAGTTCTTAAAAGAACATGTACTTCTGGTACCTACTGCGCAGGCATTTTACCCAGAGTTCACTGGGAAAAGCCCATGGGGGTGCCACATGGAGGTGTGGTTTTAGGCCTGCTACATCACTAAGTTAACTATCGGTCAGGGGCAATTGAGAGGTGTCCAATTTGCCACCAGTCAATGTCTTGTTTGACAAGATAGATGTAGGCAGTATACATATGTCTTAGGTGTAGAATACAGATAATGAGGAGTCTAGGATGTAGATAATGAGGTAGGGTGGTGGTATAGATAGTCCAGTGGGTAAGATATCTTTATGACCCAGTGCAAAGCCAGCTCAAACTAATAATTCCTTCAGGTGCTGTTTGTAACTGTACCAGGGAGAAAGATGAGTGTCTTGTTGGGGCCCACTCATGAGCAATTGCTAGGCACAGTGTCCTTGGACTGGGGAGAAACTGCCAGAGACTGTGTTTCTGAGACTAGGGAGAAATTGGGTCCAAGTACAAGCACCCAAACACAAGCACCCAAGCACCCCATCAGACATATGTAGGGGAAACACAGACATCCTCGATCTATAATTTCAATTGACACTTTGATATTCTCCTATTTTATTGTATTTACAACCTATTCAACTAGGAAACTTTCCCATGCTATATTTTAAAACACATGGAGGCTATATATATATATATATATATTTTAGTAACACAGACATCCTGAGTCAGGGTTTAAATGTCCTCCTAAGATTGTTTGATGCAGTCAGAGTTAAAGCTCTGGCTCCATGTACATGTCGCTAACTTAAGGGAATAAACAATATGGATTTACTTATCACCTAACTTGTTGTCTCTTTAACCAACTTTCAGGTCAACGCTGCTTACCCTACTTTGACCAAGTCCATATAAGTCTTCTCATGATTTTCTGAATGACTTATAATGCTTTCTTACAACATAGTAACAGTTCATTGCATTCACATAAGAGACTTTGTTTAACCATACCCCAAACAAGAAGTACTCAGTCTGCTTCCAATTTGTTGCTGTCACAAAAAATTCTGCTATGAACGTTTGGGTGTTTACGTAACTTTTCTGTCTCTAAACCTGCCTACCTGTGTGGGATCTCTGAGTCAAACAGTCTGGTCATTTTAGTAACCATTTTAGCAGAACAAATTCCTTTCCTAATTGAATTGTTCATCCAACAGTTTACTAGGGTGACTGCCCTTCTCAATTCATCAACATTTACCATTCAATGAATTTACATGCATTTATTAAGTGTCTGCAAAGCCTGGCGCTGTGCTAAGCATTAGAGATACAAATGTGAGTGCAAATGACCCCTGCCCAAAAGGATCCTACATTCTAATGGGTGAGACAACATGTACATACATAATTACATACAAGATACATGCAGAGTAAATGCAAGGGAACTTTAGAAGGAAATGCACTTGGGAGGGAGAGGGAGCAAGAAAGATCTCCTGCAGAAGGTGGTATTTAAACTGAGACTTCAAGCTAGGAATTCTAATAACAGGAAGTGAAGAGAGAGCATTCCAGTCCTGGGGGGCAACCAGTGAAATAGCCCAAGGCTGTTTGGATCGTCATTCAAGGAACAGTAGTGTACTAGAAAGAGCTAGGTTGTGGAGGGTTTTCAGTGCCAGACAGGAGCAGAGAGTTCTGTTCGAGGGGTGGGGGTGGGGGTGGGGGTGATACATAGGTTAAAAAATCAATAAAATCGAAGGAACAAGCATCATTTTAAAGACTGATAGGAAAAGACACTTCTCCCCGCTCCTTTGCATAGGTCTCTGGTGTATGACTTCGGATCACTGAAGATGTTTTCCAAAGGTTTTTTTTTTTCCCTCCAATGTGTTGATCAGTTGTGCAGGCTTTGTTCTTCACTTAATATCTTTGTTACATGGGATGGCTCTCTGGGAATATTCAAGGGAGAAATACAGGGAGAAATTTATGTGGAAAACATCAATAAATTTTTATGAAATAACAAAAAAATACAGTAACCCACCTCTGCAAAAGGAGGTAACATTCGTAAATCTTTTCTATTGTCATTTTGATTTTTCACAGCATTCAGACACATTTGTTCCTTCCATTTATATTGTAGTCATTTGTTATATTGTTTTTCCTGATTCAGCTTACTTCACTTTATGGTATATAAGTGTCATGGAATTCTATTGTGCAAAAGAAATGATGAAAGGAATGGTTTCTGAAAAACCTAGGGAGACTCTCATGAACTGACGCACAGTAAAAGGAGCACAACAATTTATATGATGACAGCAATATTTTAAAAACCAACTTTGAAAAACTTAGGAACGGGGCAGCTGGGTGGCATAGTGGATAGAGCACTGGCTCTGGAGTCAGGAGGACCTGAGGTCAAATCCAACCTCAGACATAACACTCACTAGCTGTGTGACTCTGGGCAAGTCACTTAACTCCAATTGCCTCACCAAAAAAAGAAAAAAGAAAAAAAAGAATGTCACTGGGCAGTCTGTGGAGGAAGGGGTGCGAAAGAAGGCAGTGAGGCCAAGCAGGAGGGACCGAACCGGTTGGTCTGGGAAAGCACGGGGCCTGACGCGGTGGTGTCGGGCCGTCGGGGGTGAGAAAGCCCGAGGGGAGGACGGGGAAGATAGGGAAGGGAAACCAAAGCTGGGGTCTGCCCTGGTCACTGCGGACCCCTGCCTTCCCCCACCTGCTCTCCTAAGGGTCTGCTTTCCAGGGAGGGGAGGGGGGAAGGAAGGAGGAGCCGCAGGGCATGGCCTCCATCCCGCTGGCTCGGGTACTTATCTAGATGCACACCGGTAGCCGGGCCTGCGCAAGCCCACTCCCTCCTGCCACATTCCATAGGAGCCGGAGAGTAAGAATATGCGGCTGCGCATGCGCGCGGGAGCCGGCGACTGGAGAAGGGATCCTCCCGCGAGGAACTCCCGCCGCCCCACCCGGCTTGGAACTGCCCCAGGTCCCAGGGCTGGCGGCCACACCCCCTAGCGGAACGGTGGGCCGCAAAGACTACTCCCAACATGCACCAGACCCTGTGACATCCGCACAGGACAAGCAAGGGGGGAAATGAAGTGAGGCCCTCTCAAGGCATTCTGGGAAATGTAGTCCTTGCCACGTGTCCTTCCCTGCCTGGGCCCCAAGAGCCTTTGGTCAGCTCCAGAGGTCTTCAAGGGCCCCCCTTCTCCAGGTCACGTCGCTAGCTTTTTGTTGGACAACAACCTTCCCATGTTACGTGATGTTTACGCAGCGCTCTGAGGTTGGCAAAGCGCTTCCCAGACTGAATCTCTTTGGATCCTGGCCAGGAGGAGTTGTTAGCCCCATTTTACAGGGGAGGCAGCTGAGGCACAGAGAGGTAAAGTGACTCGCCTGGAGCTAGTCAAGGTCTAAGGCAGAACCGACCAACCCCCACTGCCATCGTCATACCATGAAAAAGGAGCAGTTTTCAGGGGACTTTTAGGCTGGTCCTTCTTAGACAGCTGTTCCGCGCCCCCCCCCCCACGCTACACACACACACACACACACACTTGAACTTTGCCTCTGTGCCTCTGTTCAGGCCGACATGACCCCAGTTAATCATTCCGCCGCAATGAATCGGCATTAAGAACAAAACCACCTCAAACCAGATTATCTCAGCAGAGGCGGAACAGGTCTTTGGCAAAGTACAGCACTCATTTCAAGTCGAGGAGCATCCGCTGTGTGCTAAGCACTGTGCTAGGGACTGGGGATACAAAGAAAGGAAAACAACACAATGGTCCGGGCTCTCAAGCTCTCAACTTAACATGCAAACAACTCTGTACATACAGGACACACTCACGCACAGGATGGGGTCAGAGCCAAGAGGGCAGACAAGCAGGAAGAAGGCAGTCCAGTTCCTCCAACTCAATTCCTCCACAAAGTTCCAGAAACTGTGTCAGACCAAGTCCCGGTTTTCCTACAGGTGTGTCAGCGAGTGCCAGCTGGCAGCTGGGTCATTCGTTTCCCAGTCACAGGTCACAGGTCCAGGGCAGACTGAAGGGAGGGTCTGCATATGTGACATTACAGGGTGATGAGTAGTCACAGGCCCTAGACTGTGACAATAAATATTTATTGACTCACTAGCTGAGGTGGAGCGGAGTAGCCAATAATAATCAATAAACACTTATTAAATGCCAGGAACTGTGCTAAGCACTGGGCACGTAAAAAGAGGCAAAAGATAGTCCTTGCCCTCAAGGAGCTCACAGCTTAAAGGGGGAGGCAAGGCAAAAAAAGAAGCTGAAAACTGAGCACGGGAAGGTACTTGGCCCTGGGGCCTGATGCCATCCTGCCAGGGGCAGGGAATGATCAGAGAAGGTGTGACTCAGTCTGTTCATCTCATGGAATGTTGAGTTTCTAAAGTAAAACAAGGCAGCCAGATGGGAAACAATGAGGTGAATTCCCAGGATGCCCCCCTCAAAGAGAATCTAGGAAGAGTTCCTAGATGTCCCCCGCCCTGCCCTCTGCAGCTAGAGGAAGACAGGGGCCCCAAGGGCAGGGAGTACTGAGGAGCTGTGTTTCAGAGTTGATTTCATCTTGCAGAATGATGAGTTTCTGGAAATCATAAAATCCAGGGGGAAGCCTGTCTTAATAATAAAAAATAGTATTTCTCTGGTGCCTACTATAGCTGGGCACCGTGCTAAGTATTTGATCTTCACAATAACTGTGGAAGGTAGGTGTTGTTAATATCCCTGTTTTACAGATGAGGAAAAAGACAAATAGAAGTCAAGTGACTTGCCCAAATTCACACAGCTATTACCTGTCTTGGACTATAATTTGAATTGGGTCTTCCTGACTCCAGGCCCATCACTCTACCCACTGTGCCTACATCCAGCATGTGAGTCCCTTGAGAGCATGGACTATCCCAGTTTTTCTGTTTGTATCCTGAGCACTTAGCACATAGCAAGCACTGAGGTGCCTTTTCATTCATTCATTCATTCAAAACAAGTCAAGGAAAGATTATTGGAAAGCCGCGGCCCAGTGAGTAAGGCTGCATTCCAGATTTCAAGACATCATAAATAAAAACTGCCCAGATCTACCACCCATTCGACACCCTCTCAGTAGCCACTTGGGGTGACTCATGTCGCTGATGGGCCAAGACTGGGTACTGTCTGGAAATCAGCCTAAGGATGATTCACATTAGGTAACTTTGGGAGGTGGCTGTTATTTCAAGGTAACATAATGGTAACAACCAATTGGAAGATTAATTAAATTTATCTGAGTCATTAATCAAAATGTTAGGCAGAAAAGCAATCAATCTTTGTTACTTTATCTGGAGAGCTCCAGACTGCTTGCCAGTAGAACTGGGCCATTTCACAGCTCCATCCACAACACGTGAACGTCTTCTTTCCACAGCCCTTCCACATTGACCACGTCCCATCTTTCATCATTTTGCCCACTTGCCGGGCCAGAGGTGAGGCCTCAGCTGTTTTGATTTGCAGTTCTCTTATTCTTATGGTTGAGAGCATGTTTTCATAGTTATTACAGATTTGCAATTCTCCTTTTGATAACTATTTGTGCATATCCTTTGACCATTTATCTAATGGAGAATATATTTGTTAGTTGTCTAGAAATCTGGGATATCAAACCCTTAGAAAAGATATTTAATAAAGATTTTTTCCAGCTGATCACTTTTTATGCTAGTCAATTTTGTTCATGTTAAACACTTTCGAATACCATGTGCAGACAATTTTCAATTTATGTAAATTCACATTATACAAATTCAACTTTATACAAAAATGATTTTGAAATAAATCCACATTCCAAAAACAATCTGCTAACTTCACTGGTCTAGCTCTCCCCACACCTGCCCCTTAGTTTCCTGCAACCTCTCACCTCCCCCCCCAAAAAAAAAACCAAGTGAAATCAGAACCAATGCACAGATTGACCATCACTGCTGCCACCCTGCCCAGTGGAGGGCTTGGCTTCAAACCCCCTCACTGAGAGACCTTTGCCTTGCCCTACCCACCCTCACATATCCAGGCTGAGTGTCTGTCTTCCCTCTGTCCACAGACTGCATTCCTAAATTTGTCCCTTCTGGTCACCAGGCCTCTCCTGTGTCCAGTCACCATGTGTCTGCTCCCTTATTCTGGCCAGGCTTCTCTGTGGCTGGTCCCAACCCATGTTCCTTCTCCTGCTCTCGCTTCTATCCCCAGCCCAGATGTGTCCTTGAACTGTGTCCCTGAACTGTGTCCCAACCCCTCCCTCCATGGACATTGGATCTCTTCCTGCCTCACTTCCTTCCCCATATCAGCAGGCAAATCTGTGCTACATAAAAATTGTTTTAAGTAAAGGTCTGCCAAACAGTCCATTTATGTAAACCAAGAACTGTCTATAATTGAAATTGTCTTTTTATCTTCTCTAAAGAGCATCTGCCCATTGTTTGGTTAAGCATTCATTCCTTCAGTATGGAAATCTATCTTACTCTACAGAAAAATAGGGGGAGGGGGATGAGAGGTGGGGATAATAGAAGAGAGGGCAGATTGGGGGAGGGGGTAATTAGAAGCAAACACTTTTGAGGAGGGACAGGGTCAAAGAAGAGAATAGAATAAAGGGGGGGGCGGGACAGGATATAGGGAAATATGGTTTGTATTTCACAACATGACTATTATGGAAGTGTTTTGCATGACTATACATGTATAATCTTTATCAAATCCCTTACCTTCTCAATGAGGGTGGGTGGGGAGGGAGGAAGGGAGAGAATTTGGAACTCAAAGTTTTAAAACTGAATGTTAAAAATTGTTTTTATATGCAACTGGGAAATAGGATATACAGGTAATGGGGTATAGAAATCTATCCTGCCCTACAGGAAAACAGAAGGGAAAGGGTATAAGAGAAGGAAGTGGTGGTGATAGAAGGGAGGGCAGATTCCAGGAAGGGGTATTCAGAATCCATGCTGTCCTGGGGTGGGGGGAGGGGAGAGATGGGAGAAAATTTGGAACTCAAAATCTTGTGGAAGTGAATGTTGAAAACTAAAAATAAATTAAAAAAAAATTCACCCCTTCAAAAAAAAGTGATCCCTTCCCTAGAGCTGTGAAAGGCATAGGATCTACTTCTCTTCTAATTTACTTTATGTGTTCCTTAGTATTCAGGTCAGTATCCATTTTGAACTGACTGGGGCATACTGTATAAGTGGTGGTATAAACCAATTTCTACCAGATTGCTTTCCAATTTTCCCACAATTTCTTTTCAAATGACAAGTTTTTCTTAGGTAATATATGCTTTCAGGGTCATCAAGCACTAGGTTATTGAGTTTTCATTTTTGATTCTTCCTTGACTAGCCTATTCCATTGACCTACACTTCTATTTTTAACCAATACCAAATGGTTTTGATTATTCCTTTATGATATGGTGAAGTCTGGAAGTAAGATTCTCCGCTTCCTTCCTGTCTTTTTTCATTATGTCCCTTGATATTCAATATCTTTTGTTCTTCCAAATTAATTTTATTATTTTGTGCAGCTCCAAAAAGTGTCCTTTTTTGTTAGCACTGAATCTTTAAGTTAATTTTGGGTGGTAGTGTCATTTTTATCATACGGTAGACAGCAGAGTGGACAGGAAGCTTGCCTCAGACCCAGCAAGCCTAAGGCGCAAAGCCTGCTTCAGACACTTACTGGCCATGGGACCTGGGCAGATTACTTCACCTCAGAGTTCAAGCCAGTGGTGCCATCTTGATTTAGAAAACCACAAAGTAACATTATTTATCTACGTGGACTCATACCTTTATTTATTCTGTTAAATGTTTCCCAATTACATTTTAATCTAGTTTTGCAGAAGTGGGAGTTTGACACATTTGCTCTAAGTTTCAGAAAACATATAACAGTATACATTATAACAGCAGTGAGAATTCCATTACCTCCAGAGTCAAATACAACATTCTCTGGTTTTTGAGGTCCTTCACAGCCCTCCCCACATTTCCAGTCTTCTTATACTTTACTCCCACCCACATATTCTACGATTCACGAACACCGATTTCCTTGCTGCATCTCATCCAAGCCATTTCCCAGCTCCTTGCCTTTTCTTTTGACTGTACCCCATGCTTGAAATGCTCCCCCTCCGCACCTCCACCTCCTGCCTTCCCACTGAAATTACCTTCAGTGTACACCATACATATCTTGTCCATACACAGCTGGTTGCACGTCATCTCTCCCTTTATGGTGTGAGCTCTTTGAAGGGAGAGACTGTGTTTTTGCCTCTTTGTACCCTCATCACTTAGCACACTGCCTGGCACATAGGAACTATGTTTAATAAATTAAAATTTCTAAATTAATAAATTAAATAAAAGAATAGATGCTTACTGACTGAATGGCTAGAAGACCCTGTATCCTCAAACTGGCAAATCCTAGGTCCAGTCCCTATCTCATTAAACTGGCCTGGACCAGACATGAGCACCGTTACTTCAGTTCTTCATTTCCTTAAGGTGCTTCTGGTGATGGTATCTGTGTTTCATATATTAAGAATTATGCTACTGTTTAGTAGATTGACTCCTGGGTATTTTATAAGTTTTTTTAAACTGTGCTGTAAGAAATTATGAATATAATAAATATTTAAAAAGCATGGAAAGATGTATGAATGTTAAGTACAGCTAGCAGAAGCAGGAAAACAACATATTCCACAACAACACCAACGTAAATGGAAAGGAAAGCAAGAAAACAGCCCAAAGTGAATGCTTCAGAATGAGAATGGCCAAGGTTGGCCCTAGGGAAGAGAAATCAGAAGACTCGTCTGCAGAAGACTCCTCCGCTCCTCCACGGAGGTGAGGTTCCTAACCACTGCGTACATTGTCAGACAGCTGAAAGGGCGGCTACTTGTGCTCACCTTTTTTAAATTCCTCTTCTTTATTCTTTCCTCTGAGGGGTGGCAGCTCTCTGGGAGAACTGACAGACAGACTACACAGGTAATACAGAAATAACAAGAACAATGTTGTCACGCAGCACAGTACACACGGATCCACGAGGTCCTCAGCCACAGTCCTCCTTCAAGGCTGGCACCAAACCGTCGTCAAAGAGAACTGTCTGTTGTGCCTGGCACATCCCACCTTTTCCACCTTGAGACTCTGTCTAATGCTTTTCTAAAATCTAGGTGACTTACATCTCAGTATTCCTCCAATTTATAAGCTTATTAAGCCTATTTTTAAAAAAGGACAGTTAGTGAGACATAACCTGTTACCCATAAAACTCACATTCAGAGCATTTCATTAATGGCAAGTGGTAGGACAGTGGCCAGAGCACTGGGCCTGGAGTCAGGAGGAGCTGAGTTCAAATCCAGCCCTAGAAGCATACTAGCTGTGTGACCCTGGGCAAGTCATTCACCTCTGCCTTGTTTCCTCAACAGTAAAATGGGAATAACAGCACATACCTTCCAGGGTTGTGAGAACCAAATGAGATATTTGTAAATGTACCTAGCACACAATAGGTACTATATAAATGCTTATTCCTTTCCCCCACTTCCCATGTTAATGGTGAGCTCTTTGATGTCTAATAAGGTGTCCCCTTTGGCCATAGGCTTTCCCACATACGTTACATTCAAAGGGTTTCACTCCAGTGTGAGTTCTCTGATGTCTACTAAGACACCCTTTCTGATTGAAAGTTTTCCCGCATTTATTACACCCAAAAGGTTTGTCTCCTGTATGAATTCTCTTATGTTCAATAAGTTTCCCTTTCTGGCTAAAATCTTTCCCACATTCATGACATTCAATGGGTTTCTCTTCAATATGAGTTCTCTGATAAGCAATCAGATACTGTCTGTGGCTGAAGGCTTTCCCACATTCATCACACTCAAAGGGTTTGTCTCCAGTAGGAATTCTCTGGTGATCTATAAGAACTCTTTTCTGGCTGAAGGCTTTCCCACATTCACCACATTTATAAGGTTTCTCTCCAGTATGAATTCTCTTATGTTCAGTAAGATTGGCTCTTTTGCTAAAAGCTTTCCCACATTCCTCACATTCAAAAGGTTTCTCCCCAGTACAAATTCTCTGATGAGAAGTAAAGATTCCCATCTGGTTGAAGGCTTTCCCACATTCACTACATTCAAAAGGCTTCTCTCCAGTATGAATTCTCTGATGATCAGTAAGATGGCCCCTCTGCCTAAAGGCTTCCAGACACTCAGTACATTTATACAGTTTCTCTCCAGTATAAATTCTCCGATGTTCAGCAAGATATTACCATTGACTAAATGCTTTCTCACATGAATTACATTTATAGGGCTTCTCTCCCGTTCAGTGAGATTTTGCAATCTACTGAAGGCTTTCTTACATTCCTTACATACAAAAGGTTTTATCCTACTATGAGTTCTCTGGTGTCTTGTAAAGTGTCCCCTCTGGCTGAGTGCTTTCCCACATTCATTACATTCAAAAGGTTTCCCTCCATTATGAATTATTTGATGAGCAATAAGGTATTGCCTCTGGCTGAAGGCTTTCCCACGTTCATTACATTCAAATGAATTTCCTCCAGCATGAATTCTGCGATGTCTTGTAAGGTGTTTTCTCTGGCTGAAGATCTTACCATATACATTACACCCAAAGGCTTTTCCACATTCATTAGATTTATATAGCTTCTCACTGGAACGTGTCCTATGAAATTTAATGAGGTCTGAGCGGGAACTGAAGGGCTTCCTACACATGTTCAGTTTATAAAAATTCTTCCCTGAGAAGACTGTATTATATTTAATTACATCTGAAAAGACACTGGAGCTCTTTCCAAGTTTATCATATTTATGGAAAATTTTTCCCATTGCTACTTTCTGTTGTGGAAAAAAGACTGACCTGAAACTAAAATTTTTCCCAAATGAATTCCATTCAGGGCGATGCCCCTCATTAAAAGATGGTCTGTGACTCTTTGTTACTTGACTGGGTTCTCTCTCTTGATCACCCCTCCATTTCTGTAACCTGACATCACCTTCCCCAGGATCTTCCATCTCCGGAGGCCAGGGCCCAGCCTTCAATCCTCTTTCCTTGGCTGATCCCATGCAAACGTCCTGAGTCAGAGTTGAGTCCTTGGTCTCATATCTAGTTTCCTGACTAATGGAATCTGAAAGAAATAAACAAGTGCCAATAACTGTAACGGTCCTCGTTACTTGAGGAGGGCTGCCTGGGTCATACTCACCTGCACCTGCAGTCTTCGGGCATCCTAGGAAAACAAAGGAGTGGAGTCGACAGAGAGGTGTAGTTTCAAAAGGTTTATTCAGCCATTCTCTCAAGCAGGGAAGCAACTACACAGCTACCCTACTCTCTGCTACTACTCCTACTGCCCGCTGGTCCTGCCTTCAGCGTTTTATATCTGTTTACTCATGGGAACATAGCCCAATGTAACAGTGAACAAAGCAACAAGGTTTACATATCTTTACCAATAGGCAACACCGAGCATCTTTCCCATGCAAATAACAATCAAAGTATCCACAAGTACATTTCTTTGCAACATTATCCTGACTGTGTCCTTCTCCCGTGCTGTTCCTGTAAAACACCATGTACTTTTCATTCCCAGAATGTTCCCAATACTTGATACATCTTTGTACTAGAGCTGACTGTGCTTGAGCTAGCAACATTGTTTTGTTGAGCTTGCCTAGTATCAGAGTTCTGCTGATTGGGGAATGCAAGGTCCATGGACGGAGAACCAAGCCAGGATATTCTACACATGTACTAACACCCAAGAGGGGCCTTCGCCCATCAGTGAAGTCTCATGAACAGCCTGTGGTCCTCAACGTCCTGCAGATCCCTACAAATAACGACTGCTCTCAGTGCTAAAGGAAAGGAAGCTACTTACACCAAATCCAGGATTCTGTGTCCTCCATCTTCAGAAATGCTTAATTTGCATTTTGGATTTAGAACAAATACTGTCAAGAAGGAATTGAAGATGAAGGTAGACGAAGAAAGAGTAACAGGGCCCCCAGCTGCCTGGATGAATTCTAGGGTCCTAAAATGACCACATGTCATTAAAAACAATGCCCTCAACAAAACACAGAATTATCTCCTGGAGGACAGAAGAGTGAATTCCACAATCTCAGATTATTGCCCAAGTGGAAAACAATTTTAAATGTATGTAAACAAAACTGATGGTTCTGGAAGGGCAAAAAAGTAGAGAAAATTTAAGAATCACTGGCCTTCCCAAAAACAGTAAGGAAAATCTAACCTATATATTTCTGGATATCATACAATAAAATTTTCCAAAGGTAATAAGAAAAGAAAGGGACAAATTACAAATAGGGAATTTGTAGGATGCAAAATAATGAACCCCATCAATTCACCCATATACGCTATTTTTAGCCTTCAACTCTCCAATTAAAGGTGATTTTACAAGCAATCGTTAAGTAATATCAGTAGAACCTAGTACTTGGAACAGTGCCCGGCCCATAGTAAGCATTTAATAAACGCTTACTATTAACACAGAGAGGTTTTCTGAACAGATGAGAAATAATAGAAGCTAATTATGATATACTGAAAATTAAGAGATCTAAGACATTATCATTCAGTAAAATAAGGAACTGGTATTCAATAAAAGCTTGTTTTCATCAATAACTTGAATGAAGGCATACATGGCAAATTGATTAAATTTACAAATGACGCATAACTTGGAGCGATGGCTAACACAATAGATGGTAGAGATTCAAAAAGATCCCAATGAGCTAGAAAAGTAGGAATTTACTAGAGGTAAAATCTATAAAGTCCCATATTTGGGCTCAAAAACTCCTATTTCATATATAAAACAATGGAGAGACTTTGCTAGTTCATCCAAAAATATCTAGAGATTTTCATGAATGGCAAACTTAACAGGAGTCCATATTTTGTGTGTGTGTGTGTGTGTGTATTATATTAGATAGATAGATAGATAGATAGATAGATAGATAGATAGATAGATAGATAGATAGATAGATACATCTACATATATTATACACACACACATACACATATGGAGTAACATGAGAGCCAAAAGAATCAGCGTGAGCTTGGGCTGTTTTGAGAGGCAGAGGGTGAAGAAGAGGTGACTGTGAGACCTTCTCCAATCACAACCACAGTACTGTAATTGCTTCTGGGCCCCTCATTGGAGGGAGGACATTGACAGCCGGAGAGGAGCTGGAGAAGGGCAAGTGACGTGGTAAATCGCCCTGAAACCACATGATTTAGGATGGGTTGAAGGAATTAACACAGATTGTGCTGGGAAACCCTAAGAAGCTATATGATAGCCACCCTCCATCACCTGAATGGCTGCCAGGCACAAGATGGGTCTGCTTTGAGCACAAAGCTTGACAGCAAAGAGCAGAAATAGGAGCAATGGGTACAATTATAATGTGGCAAATTTACACTTCCATAAGGAAAAAACTCCTGACACGTAGAGTTCCCTAAAAGTGTAATGAGCTGCCTTGGGAGGTAATGGGACTTCCTTGCTGAAGGACTTCCAATGAAAACTGAATGACCATTTCCTGGCACGAGGAACAGAGGACTCTTTTTGAGGTACACGTTGGACTAAAAGGCCAACTCTAAAATTCTTTTTCTTTTTCTTTCTTCTTTTTAGCTTTCAACATTCACTTGTATAAAATTTCGAGTTCTAAATTTCCCTCCTTCCTCAATGCTTGTTGATTGACTGGAAGAAAACAAAGAATTCACTGAAACATAGGAAGACCTGTGTGCAGTGGGCAGACTGCAAAAAAAGGACAATGCACATGTCACTCCCACAAGGTAGCAGAACAGAAGAGGATTAGTAACAAATCAAATCTACATCCATAGCAAAGCAAACCCAGGACCACAAAAACCAAGGGTGACCAGATGGGGACTACCATGATGGAGGGCAGCTATGTGTGCATACATGTGCACACACACATATGGCTGGAATTAACCTGTAAAGAACTCAATACAGATATTGTAGTCGTTTAAAATCCCTTGGCTTTTTGTTTTCATTCTTGCACACTCATGTTTCTCATTTGTTTTGCAATACTGTTGCATATATTGAAATCCCCTTCTTCGTCAATGGAAGATAACATAAAACCTATATTTAAAGAACAAAGGAATCAGGGGGGAAATCTTAATGGACTATACCAAAAAGGTCATCTAAAAGTGATAAGGAACTAAGATAAATTAGAAGAGAAACATCTTTTTCTAGGAGATCATTGGTCAAAGTATCTATATAAGAAATTCTCAAAATTGACAATAACCACTTAAAAACTCTCCAATGATTGTAAAGATATCAAGGAAAATAGCTCTTTAGATACATAAAAGTGAAAAAGACTTATAAGACGGAAACAGGGGAGAGTGGAATAGCTACCTGGAAATAATGGCTACATTTCTACACGATGGAAGGGGTTTACAATGATACACCGTGTAACAGAGAAAGAGAATTACCCAACTGCTCCTGCCCTTGGATCTAAGAATCCCGATACTAAGATCACACCCCAGAAATGTTACTGAAAAGGGAGGGAAAGGCCTCTCAGTAACAAGGATTTACTGTGGCTTTACTCCTAGGACATTTGAAGTAACAGATGCTCAACAACGGGAGAACGACCAAATTGTGATAGGAACTTAATTAAGGAACTTAATGGAACGTAATTCTGACGTGAAAAGGTACAGCAATGAAGCAAAAGCAAACCTAGAAGACCTAAGAAGCAGGGCAGAGTGAGTCAGGTGAAGAAGAACCAAATCTGAGGACTGGGGCCAGGAGAGGGATGAGTAAAACCCACCCAGGGAAAAAGGTTCGGAAACTGTCAGCATTTATCCAGCTCAGCGGGCAGGCATTGCTGAGCGCCACAGAGACCCTGTACACAGAACGCTTCTTGCCACCTTGTTAAAGTGAGCACACACTTTCTTTAAAATCAGCAAGCAATGCAAGTTTATACTGCTGGCCATCCAAACACCATGCCACAGAAACACAACTGGACGTGGGGGTTGGGATCTGGGCTCAAATCCCCCCCCCATCAATAACCCCTGGGCAAACCCCTCAGCCTCTCTGGGCCTCAGTTTCCTCATAAAATGAGACAGTTCCATTAGCCTGCTTCCCTGCCAGGTGCAGTGATCCTGATCCTATGGTCACACAACATGTGGCCAGGGGGTTAATCTTGTTTCTGTCCATGAATGTTTGCTTTTGGTGATGGAGACAACCAAAATGAAGAAACCTCTCTTCTGGCAATTGAAAGGTAAGAGGGGAGAGGTGAAGGTCAGAAGACCACATCAATGGGCCAGGGAGGATCAGCAGCCCAAAGTCTTCCCCATAAGTCTTAGGGCCTTTAAGAAGGGCTGGCCAGCCAGGCTCAGCTGCACATTTGAAGGCACCGGTTACCTGACTGACTGACCAGCTGCACTCTTACTCACGACTCCCCCTCTCTATCCACACTGTTCCCTCACTCACCTGGCCAAAGCCTCCTGGGGTCCACCACCTTGGGCATCCCTGGTGCTCCTCCTCTCTCCAAGAGGGAGACCACTTCCAGGATGGAAACAGGAAGCCCTGTTCAGAGAGACAGAAATGAAAGGGAAGAAAGGGGGAGTAGTTCTGGAAATTTAAAGTCACGTCAGAATTCAACAATCCTCACAGAGAAGTGAGCAGCTAAAAACGCACCAGGCGACATAAAGGACTTCTAAAGCAGTCCTGGATGGCGTTCCAAGGTCACAGAGAGGGTTTGGGCTCACAAAACAAGCAAGGTCATTGCACCCACCCCCTACTAGGGGCACAATATTCTCTTGCCTTCAGGGGCTCCAGCAGGCCTTGTCCTGAGGGTCCTGGAAACAGCAAAACTATAGCCTTAGGGCCATCCAAAGGAAAGACACTGGAGAAAGCTGGAGAAAGTGATCCTTACCCAAAGAAATGAGGCTCTCCAAGTTCTCCAACATGACATTCTTGTACAGGGCCCTCTGCACGGGGCCCAGGCATCTCCACTCCTCTAGGGTGAAGTCCACGCCCACGTCCTGGAAGGTTACTGATTCCTGAAACATCAAACATACTCCTGCTCAGACAGGACCCAGAGGGAGGGGCTCTCACAGTAATGAGGTTCTAGGTGCCTATTTATAGTACTGTGTGCCTCTTTGTTCTAAACTCAGTAACATGTAGGCCTCCTTCACTGCTCTGGTTTGCTGTGACCCATTATTTCTCAAAGCAAAACCCAAGAAAAGCATATGCTTTACCTTTCAAGCCTCAAGCCACACAATTGATGTATTCATCCACTTTACAATGAAGCATTCACTAACATATCAGCCATCACGCATCAGTACTTAATCTCTGATTAGGCATAAGAAGGCAATCACTCTCCATTCCTTCTCACCATCATCCAGGCAGACTTATTCAAAAGGCAGGACATGCAAATGGCATTTTGTGGTCAAGGTTCTCATTTCCAACCACTAATGGCATCTTGCTCTCTTGGGGTTAACAAGGCCCTCTCCAACGCCCTGCCCCACCCACCGAGCTTGGAGGAGCAGGCCAAGCACCTTAGGCACATGGCAGATGTTTAATAAATGCTTGTTGACTCAATTTGACCCTTGGCATTTGTCTGGCAATACCACCCCTGGAGACTGTAAACATTTACAATTCATCTGCCACCCAACATTCCCTCTGGGGCTAGCAAACTCCCACAGCCTCTTACTCTTCCTTTATCCCCTACATTACTCAGGAACAAATAACCTATTCCCAAACCCCACCCAACTTCCCTCCTCTTAGGCCCATCCTCCTCAATGCTCCCCACCCACATCTTACTCCAACCCAGCCTGACCTTCCACTGCGACCTCTGGAACAGCCCTTCCAGAATGAATTCATCCCGGACTTCTCATCGGCTTGCTCTTCTTGCCCAGACCTGGCTGCCACAGAAGACCCTGGACTCCTAACCACCCTCTCCATCACCCCTCCCCTCCCAACATACCCCCATACACCTCCTCCTCCCCACTGCCACGTCCAGACCCTCCTTAGTCATCACTTGCAAGCCTCTCTCCTTTGCAGGTGGTTTTATTAAAATGTTTTACCCCAAACAGATCATTGTCCTTCCTTCTCAAAAATGGAGCACCTGGCTTGCTCTCTTGCTCACCTCCCCAACTCCTGCTCTGCACTGGGGCGCTGTAACATGAATGTTGGTGAGCCATTAAACTCCATAACCTCCCACTTTCTGACAACCAAAAGCCACACACAGGAATGGTCATGTCCTCGTTCTCACCCATGTCCACTAGTGTCCTGCTTCCTGGATCAAGAATGCACCATTCCTGTATCTTGGTTAAGTAAAACCTCCCAGCATTTCATCTCCCAAATCTATTCTTTGTCCACTGTCTAACCCCCTCAGGATCTTCTCAGGCAATAACTCTCCTCCCAAACTCAACCCTGTAATTAACCATTTCAACACCACACTGTTCTGTAAAACCTCCCAGCATTTCATCTCCCAAATCTATTCTTTGTCCACTGTCTAACCCCTCAGGATCTTCTCAGGCAATAACTCTCCTCCCAAACTCAACCCTGTAATTAACCATTTCAACACCACACTGTTCTAGACCCTTGTTCCCTTGTTTCGTGCCAAACCACAGTCCTACGGTACTCCCACCATCCATCTGCTTTCCTCCTAGTCATGAGTTGCTCAGTGGAGTCACACCATCACACTGAGCCACTTTTATCTCACTTCAACTGGACCTTCACTGTGACAATGCAGTCCTTTTATTCCTCTCTAGTTGATTCCCTATCTCACTCCTCACTCTCCTGTCCTCACAACTTCCAGACAGCTCCCTCCTTCACCTCTTACTTTTCTGAGAAAACTGAGATGAAGCAATTTTGTCATTAGAGGATTCCACGGCCCACCAGAACAGAAAGAAGATATAGATGAAGGTGTGAAAAACACTTCACAAACACAGCACAGTTGCATGATACTTGTGATGATGAGAACTTCAACTATCCAATCAGTCAGTCAATATCTATTAAGAACCAGTAAGCACTTTGTAAATATTATCTTATTTGATCCTTAGAGCAACCCCATTTTCCAAATGAGGAAACTGAGGCAGACAGAGGTTAAGTGACTCCACGAAGCTAGTATCTGAGGCTAGATTTGAATTCAGGACTTCCTGACTCTATCCACTGTAGCTGCCACATTTTTTAGAGAAATCTAAAACTCTGTCAGACTCCCAGTTTTCCAAGGATTTTTTGAAGCATATTGAGTCCTTGCTCAAGAAGTTGGGATCTTTGAATTAACTGGAGAGAGCAGTTTCAGGTGAGTCGTTTGATAGCCATATTGCAAAAGTTTTACAATCAAGTGAAGAGAGACAGTAGCAGCAAGTGTAAATAATTTTCTGCGGGAGTTAAACCAGGACGTAACTGTTTTTTAAAGGTGCCGTGTATATATGTCTCTTTTGCAGGATCCTTCTCCAGGTCACACCCTGTAACCACAGGTGTCCCACAGGGCTCTGTCTTAGGTTCTCTTCCCTTCTACACCACCTCACTTGGCAATTTCATCAGTTCTCATGGATTTAATTACCATCTCTGTGCTGATGATTCTCAAATCTACCTATCCTGCCCTAATCTTTCTGCTGATCTCCAATCTCACATCTACCAACTGCCCTTCTGACATCTCAAACTGGATACTCAATAGATACCTTAAACTCAAAATGTTCAAAACAGAGCTCATCTTTCCCCCTAAAGCTTCCCTACCTCCTACCTTCTTTATGACTGTAGAGGGTACCCCCACCCTCCCAGGCCCCAGGCTCACAGTCTAGGAACCATCCCGGCCTCCTCAGTCTCTCTTAACCCCCAACAACCACCAGCCATATCCCAGCTGTTGCCAAGACCTGCCAATCTCACCTTCACAACATCTCTTAAATACATCTCCTTGTCTCCTGGCCCTACCCAGGTACAGGGCCTCACCACCTCGCACCCAACCTAGTGCCATAGCTGCTGGGGGGGGGGGGCAGAATGATGGTTTGCTGCCTCAAGTCTCTCTCCCCACTCTAGGCCATTCTCCATTCAGCCAATACAGTGATTTTCCTAAATCAAAGTTCTGATCATGTCATCTCCCTACTCAATAAACTCCAGGGGCTCCTTGTGGCCTCCAGGATCAAACACAAAATGCTCTGTTTGGCGTTCTCCTGGCTGTTTCCAAGACATTCCATCTCTGGGCTCTGGGCATTCTCTCTGGCTGTCCCCGTGCCTGGGATGCTCTCCCACTTCCACTCTGACTCCTGACCTCCCCAGCTTCCTTTAAGTCCCAGCTAAAATCCCACCTTCTACAAGGAGCTTTCCCCAGCCCCTCTTAAATCCTTTCCCTCGGTTCCTTCCTATTTAACCTTTATATACCTCGCGTGTCCCAGGAAAGCTCCGCCCCCCTCCCCCACCCTGCCTCGCTCTATGCCTAGTGCCATCCCAGGGCGAACAGAAAAGGGACGTCAGTTACCAAGATGCAGGATTCCCTGCCTGAGGTCTCCCAGCTCTGCAGAGTCCCGCCTGTCTCTGGCTGGGGTCACTCGTGGGCCAGGTCACTGCTGCCGAAGCAGATCCACTTCCACGCGGAAATGATAAAAAGTACCGATTCAGGTGCAAGGACTGGAAGAAAAACTCCCCAAGCGCTAGACACACTCATCCCAGCCTCCCAGCCCTACTATTATCCCTGGGTTATACAGAAGGAAACTGAGGCACACGGGGGCTACGCGACTTGCCCAGCTAGGAACTCTCTGGGCTCGTATTTGAACCCAGGTCTTCCTCTCTTCTGCCCCGCCAGCTGCCAAAGCCCCTCTCTGTTGCTAATTCTTGTCCCACGGACCCCAAGCCTCTGTCCCGGGGACGGAGCTAAATTGGAAATGGACCCTATGGGGGTCACTACTCACCAGTGTCTCTGGATGTTGTGAGAAAAGGGTCAGTCGTGAGCAAAAGCCCGGAGGTGAAGCAAAGAAGTTTTCGCCCTCCAAGCATCTGGGCTGAGCATGAGGGAAAGCCCTTTACAGACAGATCACGTCGGGCCGCATCCTGCAACCTTAGCAAGAGGCCTTGGAACCAATCACAAAAAAAGGTCGGTTTTAGCATCAGCCTCCTCTCAGGAAGGCCGGACACCGTGGATCCCAGAGACGGGTTTCCAGAATAAGATACTCCGCCCAACGAAGGGATGGGATGTGTGCGTTTTTTCGTGTAAATAATTAAAGTTATTTCGACAGTTGCGATCTACAATCTCTGTTTTTCCTTATTGCAATTTAGCTTTTTTTTTTTAAATAAACTTTTCACTCTGGGGCTTAGCACTCCGGACACGCTGTTCTTCTGGCTGTCATCCTCTGTTTCCTGCCCTGGCTTACACCTTCTGAACATGTCTTTTTGTTGTTTCAGTTGGTTGGATGAAGGATCCAGGTCATTCCTGGTTTTCTTCTTCATTGGCATTATTTCCCTTTGGGCCTTCAGAATTTCATTCCTGATGTAACCTGGGCAGCCTTTACATGTTCCAAAGGCTCCTCAAGGGCACTTCCATGTTACCTAAATTGGGCATGCTTAGACTACCCCAGATAACGCATGAATTACACTCATAAGTTGACTTAGAATGTTCCTGGGATCCTACTTTGCTTTCTTTGAGTCCCTTTGGAAGCTTTCCCCAAATCCCAGGGGCATTCCATCTGTGCCTGGTTTTCCTCTCCTCATCCATCACAAACTCTAGGAGAAAATGGTCATTTACTGCCCAATGTTCCCATTATTTCCACTCCAGGAATCAGTTTTTCCTTTTAGAAAAAATAAGAGCATAGGATTTCCCCTTATTGGTGTCTCTACCTTTGGAAGTATGAAACGATGGTTAAGACAACCTAAGCAATTATTAGATGCTATTTTTGGCAGGGTGCTCAAGAAGATGTCTGGCTCCCAGGTGCCTCCAGAATCAAATACACAACCCTGCTTGGCAGTGAGAGGCCCTTCATAACACAGCCCCATCCTACCTTTCCAGTCTTCTCACACCTTACTTCCCAACACACACTCTTCCAGAGACTCTGACCCCCTTGCTGTTCCACAAACCCAACCCTCCATCTCTTAGCTCTTGGCATTCTCTCTGGCCATCCCCCATGCCTGGAATGCTCGCCCTCTTCATCTCTGCCTACTGGCTTTCCTGACTTCCATCAAGTTCAACTAAAATCCCATCTTCCAGAAGGAAGCCTTTCCCAACACCTCAATTCTAGTACCTTCCCTCTCTTAATTATTTCCTATTTGTCCTAAATACAGTTTGTCTCTGCTTGTTTTTTTTTCCATTGGAGTGTGAACTTCTTGAGGGCAAGAATTGTCTTTTGTGTCTTTTTGTGTCCCCAGCACTTAGCTCAGTGCCTGGTACATAGTAGGCAATAAATGTTTATTGACTGACTGACTAGATAGTTGAAGTCTCCCGCTGCACCATGTTTGTGAAGTGTGTCCCAGACTCTCATCTCTCTCCATTCTTTCTCTGTGGGCTGTGAATGGCTCTAATCACAAAATGAGTCTTTTCCTACCTCTCTTGGTCTTCACCCAAACATTTTCCCAATCCTTCCTACCTCTGTTCCCTGAATTTTCTCTGGTGACTTTCTTTCTTAGTATGCAGCACTAACCTGCTCCATCCCCTCTCAGCTATTCTGTTCTCTTTGAGGGTAGAAATCCAATAAAGGTAAGAGGTGTTGAGAAAGGATAGAGCTCCTCATGATGAATTTCCTTTGCCAGGCCTGACTAAGCTGCTTCCTTTGTATTGGGATAACTATCCTGTACTGTAAGGGATTGCCAAATGATCCCCAAAGAGTAGGAGAGGTCCAGTGCAGTCTAGAAAAGGGCAAATATGCTGATTTTTTAAAAGGCCAGACTAGTCTGAGACAGTGTGGTCAGAAAGGCAGCATGGTCTGTGGCCGTGAAAGCAGGGCAGTGGAATGAGTCGCGGCTGGAGCCTGAGGAGTGGATTTGATTCCCGGACCCCCTATGCATCACCCTCATGACCCTGGGCAAGTCACTTCACTGCTGAGTCCCTCAGAAAATTCACTGACAAGTGACTTTCATAGCAAGTGATGCTCTGCATTGATAGGAGGAGTTTCTTTATGGGAAGTTCTACATATCAATGAAATAATCACCATAATGCCTAGCACTTATAAAGCCTTCCAGGCTTGCAAACCATTTTACATATATTATCTCATTTAATCTTCCCAACAACCCTGGTAGTAGATGCTATTATCATCCCCATTTTACAGATGAGGAAACTGAGACAGAT